ACGGCACATCAGGTCTAAACTAAAATTTAAATTTGGGTCTTACTGTAATGCCAAACTTTTTTGACAAGTAACTAGTTCAATACCAATATGTATTCTTTGTGTATTTTTTTTTATTTTGTCTATAATAAGTGTTTTGCCGGACCGGACAGACCGAAACAAAAATTTTTGCTGACCGGACCCAAAAACCTGCGGACCCGGACCGAAGAAAAAGCTCTGGACCGGTCCGGAAGAAATTTTTTTTTTATTTTTATAAAACTAATTTAAAAATTGCATATATAATGTATTTTTAAGAGTTAAGCAAAAAGAAAACATTTTTAGCGTTTCTGGCTTTTTTAAAAATAAAAAAAATTTTTGCGGACCGGACCGGACCAAAAAATTTTTGTTTTGGATCGGGCCGGACCCGAAAATCGCCGGTCCAGTCCGGGCACTTTCTATAACTGTTTAAACTACTTAGTCCTTTTTATTATGTAATAGCCAAAAATGGCCTGAGAAAGTAGTAAATTAAAGTTACGATAATAAAAGTGAACGTGAGACTACTGTAGATTGACATACGCTGTTAACACAATGTAATATTTAAAATAGTCGGCTTTCTTTTTACAAAAAAATATTTTTTTCCAATTTCAATTTTGATTTTTTACTTAATTTTACCTTATTATCATAAAACAAACATTCACATAAATATGTATTACTATGTTTTGACTATTGATTAAGTTTAATTTTGTTCGCCAATTTCAAGCAATCATTGAGATTCAAATAATTAAAAATTCAAATCAATATGTTCATGAAAAAAGTCATTGGCGAACGTATTTTACTCGGTTTTCCCAGAATTAAATCATCAGAATCACACGGTGCATAATTAATCTGAATATCATGGTAAGAGTAATGTCTGTCAGGTTCGGGGAATATAGTGAATATTAATGTGGGAGCAAATAAACATCAACATATTACTTATGATACGACTTGTATATCACTTATCATATCATTAAGTCTGTTTTGATGCGTTACGTAATAATATATATCATCATATTGGGAAACTTTATATCATCATCTACTTCCAAAGTTTCGAATATTTTTACCCTACCATAGCCTACAGTATCCTACACTTCCTTACCTTACGTTACGCTACGATACAATACGATACGATACGATATGATACGATAAGATACGATACGATACGATACGATACGATACCCTACCCTACCCTACCCTACCCTACCCTACCCTACCCTACCCTTACCATACAAAACTACAGTACTACTTGTATCCTGCCATATTTGCTACATACGTTTACATTTCAAAAGGTTTAAGACGTTAAATCCGGTATGCCATTTGTAATCATCACTGTTTACAATGTTAAACATGTTACGTAACCAATTTCGTGTTCCCACCTACAATGTCCAAGTAGAAACAAGTATATAATAGGATATCACGTAAAGCTGTAAATGTAACAACCACGTTTCGTAAATGCATTATGTATACATACTACTGTGGTATTTAATAATACTACCGTGTTAATGACGTATTAAACTTAAAATTATAAATTTACATCTCATACATGTCATACCAAACCCAAAAATAATATATATGTCCCTTCAGTATTCAAATACAAACCTATAAATCATTTTATACCACGTAAAACCCAATATGTGCATATGTTATACATGTAGAATAAGCAGTTACTATGTCACACACATGTTTCATGTAACTAATATGTCATATACAGCCAAATATGCCCCATATTTATAAAAAACGACTTTGGCGAATACAGATAAGTTAAACCTACATAACATAGTTATATAACTTTGCCATATATCCCTATATAGCCACCATGTAAATCTCCATTATAATCTCATATGTCAGCTTTATATAATAAAACGTAGTCGCCCTCACCCCACACACTCATATGAATCATGTATATCAATGTAAAAATAACGTGATAATTTATTTAAAAGTAATTAAAAGCATGGTTAAAGATAGACAGCGTGGTATTTCTTCGTATGATTCATATCAAATGAATTACACTTTACAATTTTAACATATAATAGCTGTAGCTTACAATAGTGAACCTGTAACCCTTTAACAACAACTATCTTCCCCTTTTTTACTCCGCTCTCCCTCCCTCACTGTCTTTAAACTGGAATTGAGGGCCCCCTTCCTTCTCTTTTTACCAAATTTACCCTCCCTCCCCCTCCCTTTTCAAACTTTAATTGGAGACTCACTCCCTCCCCCCTCCTGACAAAAATTTGAATTAATTACCTTTTTATTATATTTTTATTCGTATTTCGTTGTGACATTTTAAGACAAAGCAGTTCCTACATCTGCCGATGACATGTTTAATTATAAAAGTTAAACTGCCATAAAAAGAGTTATGTCTGTCACAAAAACATCTCCATTTTCAGAGGCCTTTAATTCTCAAAAATATGATGTAAAATAAAAAAACGTCATTTTACCGTAGGAACACATATATGTTAAAAAAATACGAGATTTATATAACTTAACACACTCCATATATCTATATACTTTGACATGTACGATACCACAATAAAGGCTATATATACATATGCGTAGACAGGTTTTGTCAGGTAGCTACAGAAAACTATGTAAACAACATAAAAACACAACATAAAAATTAAATCAACTGAATTTTAACGAAATTTCATAAATAACACCCCTCTATAAATGATTTTTTTACAACTAGCGCTTTCACCTACTATATTATACTTCATAGTGCAGATAATTTAGAAAACTGCATAATAGAAGATTAGTAAACCCATTTGACTTCATTTTCTACTGTAAAAGCAAACACCATTTTTTACTGTTTATTATATATAAGCACAACGATAGACTACGGTATGATAAAGCCAGAAGAAAAGATAGAGTAGAAAAAAAACTTTGAAAGAGCCGAGGTTTTGCTTTTCCTACCTTATTATTTACTTCATATTTTACCCTAATCTCTATTCTACCGCTGCTCAATTACTAAACTACTCTAGCCTCTGCCATAGAGTTTATATCCTCCCCAGGCTTTACATGAGTTTCTACCCCAACCCTTGCCTCTCCTTTCTATCTTATCTCTAAATTTTACTCCAGCCTCTACCATTGCCCTTGTCTTAATCTCCCCTGCCCCCAGCCTCTTGGTATTCCCTCACAGAATAGTAAGGAAAATACTGTATAAAACCATAATGAGGCTACGGTAATGATAAAAATAACTCATTTTCTTCTATCTACTTTTCGACTACAAAACGATGAAACTTTGTTGAAACTTCAAAAATGTCATTACTTTACACCTTGTTATAAATATTCATAACGTCTAAAAATAAGCTGCAAAGTGTAGATGTGGCTGTAAACTATGACATGATCAATTTACATCTATAAACAATGTCAGTCTTCTAAATCTAATTTCATTGTTACAGTATCTACATAAATCACAATATACTATGAATAATATATTGTATTAACTACAACAACATAAATTATACTACGAGTATAAACTACAGTAAGCATAGCTCATATACTAGTAGTATAATACAATGAATAATTAATTACAGTACACCATCATTGTTATAACTACAGTATGATGTCTATATACTGCAGTAGACGTAATTTTAATTGTTTTCATGATATTGTTATTAGTAAAACGTTGGGAACATTGAAAATTAAGTCAAAATTTTAATAATTTGAATAACTTCACACGCCAATAGAAATAACTTTACAATATATATTATAATACAGAAAAGACATATATAACTAGCGACTTTTATACCTTTCTGATTTATTGTGGACAAAACCGTTCAATTCTTGTCCGCCAAAAAAATCTCATAATTATATGTGATCCCTCTTTTTGTATGATTGCCGTCGGCATTAGAGAAAAACTAGAGAACGCACAAAATTATGAGATTTTTTTGGCGGACAAGAATTGAACGGTTTTGTCCACGATAAATCAGAAAAGTATAAAAGTCGCGTGTTATATCAATAAGTATTTTTGCAAAAATAAAGTAAATTAGAAACTAATGTCATATCTCATAGAATTTAAAACAAAAACTCTATTTTACTGTAACGACAAGTAATACCGTATAAATTCAGCCACAATACGCACTTTCTCATGATTTTCAAATAATTCAAAAACAGAGTACTAGAATATTCTACTGTATTTTAAGTACGTCAATTATAAAAATAAGTAACAGTGTCCTAAGTACGTCTGAATGTAAACAATACTTCACAGTAACTTGTAATCAAACTTGAAGTTTGAATTACAAAAATTCAAAACTGTTTTTATTTTATTAGGTTCTTCAATAATTATGTGCCTTCTTTCAAAGCAAATTTTTGAAGTTAGGGGCACAAAATTATGTGAACAACCCAATACCTTTAATTTCATGATGTCATTAGTAAAAACATCTTTATTTACCAAAAGTAATTGTAAGATTTGCGACTTCCAACATTGTTTACTCAACGTCTACACTAATTTTTGTCACAATGCATCGCGATGAAGGTGCTTTCTTATAAAGAATTCAAAGGTTTATAATTTTTTATTTTTCTCACTGTTAAAACATCATTTTTATAAAAAAATCAATTTTTGTTATTATTATAGGCAGGTGTGTAAACATAGCCTACAGAAGACCATTAAAATAATCCTAACTCGTACAGTCTTTTAGTTTTTTAAAACAGTTTTTTTGAAATTAAAGCTTGTTGCCCATGTCAAACAAAGAAAATTTTTCTACTACTGGTGTTCAAGTTATAATCGACCGTCATGAAACTGTAAATCTTGAAGTCTTTGTTAACCAACGTATTAAAATAACAAAAACTGTAGCAGTTTTCAAGTAATAAATTTCAAAAAAAATGTGTATTACTGAAATATAATGATCAATTGTCTATAAATTTTCAAAAAAATATTATTTTTTTCATTTATTTTACTTATGTACATGTAAAACTTTAAAAATCAAATAATGAAGCTAGCTACAAACATATAAAACAAATTTAGAAAAAGGTAACAGCATCCGCATCCTCTACAAACCGGTGAGGTACAATGTAGTCCGGGTCGTTTTTGATGGCTTCTCGACGACAGTTCTTAACCCATTCCTCTTGGAAACTGTCCACTTCATTGTTGAGACACTCTTCCACAAACTTAGGTACTGGTTCTCCGCACTTCTCAAGGTGTTTAACCAAGAACTTGGCAAACTCCACGTCTCGTTCTCGGTCAAAGAAGCCACTCCTGGATTACCCATTCGTCCAGTTCGGCCAAGGCGATGAATGTACTCTGTTGGGTAGACCAGTCCAGCTTGGGGCAAGTTGTAATTGATGACTAGTGAAACGTTTGGAATGTTTACACCTCTGGCCAACACATTGGTGCACACAATGATGTCGATTTCTCCACGCTTGAACTGTTGCAGCTGAAATATAAAAATTGGTTATAAAAATGAAAATTGTTGAAAAAACAGTACAAATTATGTAATTTACAGCTCTAACTAACTAGACTATACTCCTGTTGTCAACCAAAGCTTTATCTTACCGTTTTGTTTCGCACATCCATTGGAATTGCCCCGTTGGTTGATGTCGCTAGATAACCTGCCTTCAGCAAGTCAATGGCCAATGCATCAGCCTGTCTTCTTCTGCTTACAAAGACTTGTGTCTTGTCTAACCGGTACTGGCCATCAACCACCTTCCTGCGATGGCATGAAGTGCATTTCGTGGATGATACAAAGCTGGTCTTTTTGAGTTTGTAAACTCTTTTTGAGTGTAAAATGCGCTAGCACGGCGCTGAAATACAAAACATAAATAACAATGATGCAAAAAGAATTATAAGAACATAATAAAAGACATTAGAACAGATTAAGTTTAAAACATTGTCGTTATTTGAATCAGGTTTTTGTAAAACTTACCACTTCCACAAACTTTTGGAACACACTTAAAACGGGCAACTGTTCATCGCCAATTTTCAATATGACTGGATTTGGAGCCAGTTCGTCGTCTCTCTCTTTATCTGATGTGGCACTAAACATCAACATCCTCGATTTACCATTTGTTGCCTTCAACATCTCACGTCGAAGTCTTTCACATATAGCTCTGAATGTGTATTCAGAGGTAAGGCGATCGGCTTCGTCAACAACAAAATACTTGGCTTGGCTAAGCGAGTATTTCCCCTAAAATTTGAAGTTTTGTACTAAAGGTATTATAAAACCTAATTTAAAAGATTGGTTAGCCTGACAACCGATACTCATGTACCAACTATGTTTTTAACACTTATACTTCTTGAAGAACCACCTACCTGTTCTGGAAGAACATAGCCTCTAACCGGCCTGGTGTTCCAATAAGAATGTCGACACCATTCAGTCCTCTATATCTGAAATCGTCAGCAACTTCGCCAATAGAGAACGTCACACCAACGGACGTACTCTGGCAAAAGATTGACGCGTCTTTAGCCAATTGCAAAGCCAGTTCTCTCGTCGGAGAAATTATGATGGCATGGGGTAATGTGTAGTTAATTTCTTTTTGTTTAGTGTTTTCTTTGGCCTTTAAGATACACTGGATCAGTGGTATTAAAAAGGCGGCGGTTTTCCCACTACCAGTTGGAGCTCTGCAGATCAGGTTTCTCTGCGTGTCACGGATCAAGGGAAATGCGTAGCGTTGAATCGTCGAAGGTCTGGTCACGTAGCGTTTCTTGACATTGACGAAGAGCTTAGGGTTCAGATTCATATCTTCAAACTTTCTAAAAGATGTAAAAGTAAATTACAGTTAGAGTTTCAAAAAAAATTTTTAAATATGACAAATTATAAACAAAATACTCAAAAAACAAGACCTTTTTACTAAAAGGTACCTTTATATGTAAGTATGTATATTCATATTGAAAAAAGTATAACTAAAGTTTTTGAACTGTATATTATGATGTAAGAAAAGTTTTGTCGCTAATTTACATTAATTTTGAAAAAGCTTTAAGACTTTCGTGCCATTTTAATATTACAGTATGAAGTCTACATTATTCACAAAAGACGAAATCCACAAAAGTAAGTAAACATTTATCATTCTTTGTAATAAACTACCGTAACTTACTCAATCAATTCGATTTCTCCTGTCATGTTCTCGATTGTCACTTGACTGTCATCGATTCGTTTCATATCCTGATACAGTTGACCAGCACTAATTTCATCGTCCTGGTTTTCTAGCTCTTCCTCGGTAAACCGAGACTTCTTCAGCATACCGCGTTTCCTGTCTAAAAAAGTAAAAATTACTGTAAGTCAACTTTAAATTAAGGCTATTTGATAATTCTTTTTTTATTTATTTATTATTCTTTTATTTGTTTATTGAACTAAAATACAAATCTCACTTTTTACAATTCATACCTAAAATGTAGCTAAAACATTAAAAACTTACACTCGAAATTGATCTTGTTGTTCTTAGAAGTCGCATAAGTGACTTCACCAAACTTCTTGTTCGTAAGGAAGGTGTTGCGGATCGGTTCATCCACAATAGTGAACTGATCTCCAGCTCTTTCACTTCTTTCCCTCATGGCCAAGACATAAGGGTCCTGTTCGGCTTCGGCGTACTCATCAGCAAACATCTTTTGAAAGATAATCTAAAAAATATACAATTTATTTATTGTATTTTGTATTCAAAGCACGATCAGCACGTACACATATCATCATAGATAGTATTTTTATTATTAACACATAAATACATTTATAGTTATACAAAAGAACTGAGAATTAACCCTCAGGTCTTTTTTTCAATTCACACGCCGTTTTAAACCAGTAATATTAAAATTGAAACGAAATGTATACAAGACGACTCTATACTTGGCCAACACGATGACTTTCAGAAGTCATATAGAGTCTTTCATCTTCCAGCCTGTTTCCTTTAACTTGTAGTTGTAGAATAGGCAAGTATTTACATACTTGACAAACATTAACAATTACATTTCATTTATTGGCAAACAAATAAACAAAAGTATAAAGCAAAATATCAAAAAAAGAAATAAAGTTGAAACATAATATAAACAATGAACTAAACAACATAAAGAAGACAAGAAGACTAGACTACCGAACAGTTGGAGAGCAAATGTTTGACTGAATTAGTGATCGAGATCGTTGGGCTATAGCCAATTTTGTGTGCCGATGTATTGCGAGTTTGTGTGGCGATTTCTTCAAAAATATTGATACTGAAGCTTTATCTCTCTTTTTAAACCGTTTAGTAACGATATGCGGATTACGCAATAAAAAGTCGCAGGTAAAAGATACAAGAGCTCGTCTCCTGATCTTTTTTAAATCTTCAGAAATAAGTTTCAAACCTTGACAATACTGTAAGCAGTTGAAGCTTTCAATGTCCACACTAATTTATATGTAATGTTCTTAATTCACATAATAATATCCTACTCTAATTTCAACAGCACTACTTTAGCACCATGATTACAATAAAAAGCCAAATTGAGATTTCAGCACGATTTATTTGCATTATGAGAAGTATAATACGAGAACGTGATATATGTTATTAAATTAATACAATAAAGGTAAGTTAGTCTGTCAGAGATTGTAACAATAAAAATGAAGGCAAGTGAAAAGTAAAATACTGTAAAGTGTGAAATACAATAAATAAACAAAGTAACAATATAAAAAAGTTAAAAGATAAGTAATATCAATTAAGTTATTGAATTTGAAATACTAATATTATGATACTCTGATATTACAGCTAATTGACTAAAGTAAGACACAATTATAACGTAGAGATAACAAAAGATAAATTGATATAGACGTAGTTAACTTCTACACACCAATACGCATCTACTCATACCTATTAAGATGCATATTGATGTGTTAACACTAACTTTAAAGTGAGTTACCATAATATTGAGTTAGAGGCACAGCCTTTTTATCAGCATAGACCAAAAAGTCTTTACCATAGGCTAGACATATATGAAGTAGAGCAAAACAATCATCTTGAGCATGATGTTCAGCAAAAGATTGGTTGTAAATACTTCTGTAAATGTTACCTAGCTTGAATTGGCCTGGGGCAAAGAAGTAGCGTTCCGCATTGTGACCGTGGAACGACCAGGATCCATCCGATTTTCTTCTGGAATTTGATGTCATTAGTAACATTGTACGTTAGAAGTACCATAGAAAATAAGAAGAAGAGTGAAAGTCGTATTTTACAATAAAAAATATATAAATACGCGTTTTAACTATACATAAGCCTTATAGAGTTATATACTTATGTATACTTACTCAAACAGCTCGTCCTTAATTCGATGAATTTTGGCTGGACTCCATTCGCTGTGCTTCATGAAGCGTAGCGGATTCATTATGTTCGATTTCTCCAGGAATCCGCGGTTCAATCTGAAATAAGAAACATTATTTCTATGACAAAAATTACTTTATAAATTCCTTCATCTACAACATTCGTAGCAAAAACACTAAAAACGAAATTCAAAATTTTTTGAAATCCTTAAACAATAAATTTCAAAAGTTTCGCATTGATCAGCACTGACAGTACCAAATACAAGCTAAATTTAACTCATAATTCATTTTACAAACCAGATTCTACCTTCTTATCTACAGCTTCCATATACCAATATATTAGCTATCAAACAACCTACGTCAACTTAGAAGGCGCAGTCTTCCACCCGTTATTCTCTGGCACTTTCTGTTTTGTCGGAGTTTGAAAGATGTCAGCTCGAGCTGGTCGTTTTAGGACCGATGTTTCCTTTGGTTCGATATCAGCTTCATCCAAGAAGTCTTCTATACTGTTCTGACGTTTACTATTTTTACCATTTCTTCCGTCCTTATCAATAGGCATTGGTTCTTGTTGTTCTTCCAAATCATCCGATCTCATGGTTTCGTCTTGTGCTAATGGTACTGGTACTGATTTTATGTAATTGCTTACTAAAATGTTATGTTTGTGTATATTAACATAGTTGATAGTTTCGTTATCCTTATATTTTCACAGTTAATACTTTCAAAAGCCTTTCGACTTTTTAGAGAAAAAAAACAAGTATAATCGTATCAAAAGCAGTATAAGACATGTTTGTACCTAAAACCTTCAATAAAAATAAAAAATTTACTTTCAGCCCAATTAACAGACTGTATGACAACTTTAATCAAGTCATGATGCGCTTTTTCTATGTCCTTAAATGCTAGATAGGTATCCAAGAAGAGTACTTTCTCATTGAATACTGTAGATGTTAAGTTATTTCGTCGTAATTCTGCTAGTAATACTCGGTAATCAAAATTGAATCCATTATGAGCAATTAGTGCTACTGGCCCTGGTAGTGCATCCAAGTAGGCGTTTATTATTGGCCAGCTTTGTTTAAAGGTTAGTTTTCCTATTAAATCTTCCTTCTTTAGGTTGGAATCTAAAACAAGATTGTATATGGGATAAAAATAGTTTATTCAAGATTAATAAAAACCTAGATTGTCCACTGATATGGCTATATGTCTGTGCTTACTATAAGTTCAACAATCGCCAAGTAAATCTGTGTTGCTCATCACAAAACTTTTTCGTACCTAAAAATCAAACAATAATATTAAAGCTTACATTTCCACTGTTCTTTTTGGTTATATTCATTCCATTCTTCTTGTTTAAAATCAGGATTAATCTGAAGTGTCAAAACATTAGATGGCACCGATTCCAACCTAAAATCTTTATTCTCTGACTTGTGATTCTGATCCAGATAAGTTATATGCTTCTCAAATTGTATTCTCGGCACGGCGACCATTGACAATTCGATTATTTTAGGGAGTTTCGTTTCTCCGGCTTTATCCACTGAAAAAGATCATTGAAAGCATATACAAAAACAATTAAAGCATTACAAATACATATACCAAAATTGGCCAAAGGAAACAGCTTCTAAACAGTACTATACCTTTATCATAAGCATCAAATATTTTTTGTACATCTCGATTATCGCCAGGCCGAGCAAACGGTGGATTTCTAGGATCATTCCTGTCTAGTTGTGTTATCAGTCCAGTTGTTTCCAAATCGAAGAAGATTAAAGTCTCACATTGAGTCACCATTGCCTATCAAACAATAACATTAAGTTAAGTATACTGAACAGTACTAAACTATCGGTAAATGAAAAACGGAAAAGGTAGGTCAAAACTATTATCAAAAAACTAAAAACGTTATCCAATTTCAAAAAAATATTATACAAAAATGTTAAAAGGTAGCAAACGGAAGTTAGGCCAAGTTAAAGCAAATATCGTCGTGGAAATAGCTGAATAAAACAAATTTATTTCTGCCTAAACCAAAAACATTACGCTATTGATAAAAGGTAATTTAAAGATCTAATAGGATGGTAGCCGGCTCTTCCACGGCTTCCTTGATCTTCCTCAGGAACAACACAGCCTCTCTGCCATCAATTAGACGATGGTCGTAAGTCAGGGCAACGTACATCATGGGACGGATCTTCACTTCACCATTGACGGCGACCTAAACCAAGTTGATTCATTATTTTAAAAAGCTTTCTTAATTTCGAAATATTTTGTTATATATACTTCAATACTGTATCAATTTCGTTTCAGAAAAATCGAAATTTTTAAAAAAGTCGAACTTTTTCAAAAATAAAGGAACTTTAAAGAATTTTGTATAAAGTATTACCTAATATTAAAAAAAAACACAAAAACCTTACCGGTCGGTCCTTGATCGAATGCATTCCAAGGATAGCAGACTGAGGAGGGTTGATGATCGGGGTACCATACAAAGATCCGAATACTCCACCGTTACTGATGGTAAAGGTTCCTCCTTGCATGTCCTCAATTGCGATCTTGTTATCTCTAGCCTTAGCTCCTAATTCAGCCAATGTCTTCTCAATTTGAGCGTATCCCATCATTTCCACGTTCCTAATCGCTGGTACTACTAATCCTTTTGGCGTGGCTACAGCTACCGATATGTCAACATAGTTTCTATAGACAATCTCTTCGCCTTCGATCACCGCATTCACCACAGGTTGATCTTGAAGAGCCAATGCTGAAGCACGAATGAAGGGAGACATCATACCGAGTTTGATTCCGTGTTTCTTCACAAACAAATCTTGGTACTTCTTGCGGAGAGCCATGATATTACTAAAATAAGGCTGGTTTATTCCTTTAATTATTACTAAAACACTAGAACAAAATCTCTTCACATGCAATTTTATTTTTCAGTTACATTACTACTTCATAGTTCCTAAACCAATAACAATGTCAGCTAAAAAAACTCACGACATGTCGATTTCGTTAAAAGTAGTGAGCATAGCGTTGACATTTTGAGCTTCCTTCAGTCTTTGGGCAATTCTTTGTCTCATTCGGTTCATCTTCACACGAGTTTCATTTCTTTCACCAGTAATCGGGTTCTTGCCATCAGCTGGCGCCTTCAATCCAATGATTGGACTGACCGGGATATCATCAATGGGTTGAGAGCTAATTGGCTTCGAAGCTGGAGGTGGAATAGGTGGGAGAGAAGATGGAACAGCTGAAAACGGACAGCAAACTAAGATTATGTAAATTTAGACGTGAAACACAAAGATATAATTAAAAATACTAATATAAAAAATGCGTTAATATCAAAAAGTTTAGCTACTACAACATTTTAGGTAATAATTCCGTTCTAAAAACCAACTTACGTCCAGAAGACGGCTTTGGAGCTTCAGCCTTAGGCTTTTCTGGCTCTGAAGCAGCAGGTTTGTCCTCTTGTTTAGGCTCTTCCTTCTTTGGAGCAGCAGCAGCGGAACCACCACCACCTCCTCCACTAGCTCCTTTCTCTAGCTTGTACAACTTTTGTTTAGCTGTGACTTTGTCTCCATCTTCTACCAAAAGTTCCACGAGGGTACCAGGGAATGGTGCTGGTACTTCTACTGATGTCTAAACGCAAAAAAATATAAAATTTAAAAAGACCTACCTTGTCAGTTTCAATTTCGGCCACCAGTTCATCGGCTTCAACAAAGTCTCCCTTTTCTGAAAAATAATAATGTTGTTAGAAGATAATATTATTCAAACATGATTGTTAAGCTATTTCAATCATAAGTATTTGTGAAGACTCCTTAAATTTTACGACTCAAAAAGACCATACAAAAAATAAAATTTTTCACAAAAAATATAAAAATTACTAGTTGTTACCTAAAAATGACAATAAACATACGTTTAATCCATCGAATATCACCTTCAGTGATAGATTCGGCAAAAGCTGGTCCTTCTATTTCAACTACCTCACCATCTGAAAAAGATTCGAAATAGGTAACGAAATAATTCAAAATTCAAAGACGGTATTTTAAAAAGTTTTATAAACTTAAACCTTCAAGTAATTTTAAAACCAACGTCCAATAACTTACTTAAACCAGCGCTCAAATGGATAAATCTTCTAGGCACTTCATAACGTCCAATTTGACGATGTGAGCTCACAATTGGCCCAGAAACTTTGATCGAAGAGCATCTGACAGTCTAAACATCGAATAAAATAGTAAAAAAAACAATTAACTTACCGATTTTAGCAAACCTTCACAACTCCGAAGCCGAAGGAAAACTCGGCGGCTCAACATTGTTCACCCGGTGGTATAATAAAGAGAACAAACTGAGCAGCGGCCGATCAACACCTACAAAAAACGTCGTTAGATAAATGTGGAAGAAAACAAAAATAATATCAGCTTGAACAGAAACGACAATTTCATTGAAAATAAACTATAAAGAAACAAAATTTCTTCAACTATCCATATTTACAAAAGGTTTTCTGTATTTTGTGGATCGCACTGACTTATTTTTTATATTTCCTCAATTTCCCTCAATCAATAGGACGAAGTGTCACTATTGACTCGCAAAAAACAGACGAAACCTTGTCAAACAGAAACCAAGTTTATGTCCGAAGATCAGTAAAATAAAGGTAATAAAAGTGTTTTATTGATTGAAAAGCAAAATATTTTGATGTTTTACATATTTTCTATTAGTAGTTGAAAGATCAACATATTTAACTTATGTAATTATACTTTTAGGTATGATAATGTCTCCGTTTCCAACGCTTCAAGGTTGAACATGTCTGTTCATTAACCAATTTACGGTATAGATTTTTTATAGTTACTTTATTTTGTTTTGCAAGGTTTTGTTTGTTCTTTGAGAGCTTATAAGTGATCGTTGGCTGTAGTAACTACGACATTGTTTGATCTGGAGCAGAATCTTGCTATACTCAGCACAAGAATAAGCTAGTCCTTGCTTATTATAACGCAAGGCCATAAAGATAAGTTTGGGATTTGAAGTATTCATTTTTGAACAACAACTTTTTTTGCAACGTGGAGAATTAAATTTAAAAAAATTGTTAAAACTTTTGTCGTAATTTGCTGCACTTTTGGTCATTTTTTCAGGTTTCGCATGATAACTGGTATTCCACACGCTACTTTACATTTTGGTTAACTTTAAACTTTGAATTAGCTTATTTGCTGTAATTATCGGGAAAAGCCTTACGGCGTTTAAAATCGTTTTTGTTTTACCATCGTTTTGCATTTTAAATACGAAATGTGAAACAAATACCTGTAATTTTGGGTTCATATTATAAATATTTACATTACATCTTAGAAGTTACTGTGACTAAGCTGTTATGGTAAAAATTACCTTGACTAAGCTGTTATGGTACTTTTTAACGTCGTAACAACGCCTACGTGGTAATATGTTTACTATAAGGTGTCATAAACAACTCGTAAGGCTAGAACAATAATGACTACCTTGAAAGGTCATAAATAATTATTCTACACTTTCTCTGACCAAATAATACCAAATTAAGGTCATAACAATATTTATTTACATTTCGTATTTACATTTTTGGTATAATACATAACAATGTTAAGTGAATTTACATAGTAAGAGAATATATACATAAATTAGCAGGCCATTGCGGTTTGCCCCGTTGCCAAATCTTGTTGTTGGTAGTCGTAGAAGTCTAGGTTGGGGAACAACGCGCTCAATCGTTCTTTCGGTGCACTTAGGCTTCCGATTAGCTCTAGTCGTTCCAAAGTATCCAACAGGGGTTGTACTGGCTGTAATGGGGTAGATGTGATGGCAGCACCCTTTTGCATGGTCAATCGGATCGAGCGGACTTCACATTGCTTCAACATGAACAAGGTTGGGTTTCGTGACAAGTCGAAGCCACTGTAGGTTGTGTATGACAAATGTTGGAACTTGGCTCCGATTCCGCCCAACCTTCTGATGTGAATCCGAGTACGTTCGGCCAAGGTCGAGCTCTCCAATTCGCCGTCGTCGATCAGGTCAAAGTTCATCAAAGAAAGGCGATTCAGTCGAATCTTGTCGTTGAAGCCTTCGGTGGCTTCACTCAAACCAATCTTGCCCACCTCACGCAAGGTTTCGGAATTGAGCGCAAGAAGGTCGGGTAAAAGGTCGATCCGTTGACCCACGTAGCGCCGCTTCACTTTCAGAACTTCAAGGCGAACGTTTTCTGAAAATGGAGAGATTAATCAATGGGATTTATTGGTGGAAAACATTAAAGAAATCTTTTGTTTTTGGGGAATTTGATTGGAATCTGAGAGAACAATTAAAAATATCGCCATTCATCTACAACAACATGAAAAGATCTACTTCATGTCGGTTTTTGTTACAAAATATTGGAAAGAGGACTATGTTTCTGTAAACTTTTAGTTTCTAAACACCTCAGTTAGCTTATAAAAATCTAAACTATTTGTCCATCAATCCAAAAAGTGAATCTGCGACAAATTGCTTTTCAAATCCATCATTTCCCGCAATTTTTCGGGACAAAGAACTTTGTAACCCACAATCATAAAACGATAAACTTTTAGTCATAAGCAACAAAGACAACCGGTCTTACCTGCATCGAGGAACTTTTCAATAATGGCGTTGATGGAACGAGTTTCCGACGTTTCCAGGTTCAGCGACAAGGTGCGGACACATCGCACGTGGGCCAATAGGTAGTCCAGGCGCTCGAGGGCTTTGTCCAGTCCGTGCATTTCGTAGTTTTGGATGCGGATTTTGGGGGGATCCGAGCGTTGGGCTCCCCACGATACTGTAACATTGATGTTGTCACAGTGGAAGAGGGCGTAATCTGATGAACGGGTTAGCTGCCAGTTGGTGGAGCGTAGCATTAATGATTTTTCGTTGTCCATTATTTCTGAAAAATGTCGGAATATTAGGGAAAATTTGAAAATTGTTACTCAAAATTTAAATTTTTTCCACGAATTTTTGAAATTTCACTCTATTTCATATAATCCCCTAAGGTAAACTACCTTGTCCGAACTTAAAATTCCAAACCTATTAAAACGCAACTTAAAAAGCTTCAAGTTCAGTTCAAAACATGGTTAAAACCTCAAAAATCGACCAAAAAACATGTTGGATCCGGCCATGCTGCTTGTTGTCTATGGGACCACGTGGTTTTTATTCGGAGCGAAAACTCGCAGCTGGGTTGGCTTTGGCCGGGGGAAAATAAATGAGAAAAAAGGGGGAGAGGAAAGCCTCAAAAAACACAAGATTTTGTTTGAAGACGACAAACTCTCGACTCAAAAAACGTCAGAGAAAAGTGGTTTTAAGGGGAAAATTAGGGTAAATTTGGGAAATTAAAGTAAATTTTGTAAAAGTAAAAGTAGAGAAGTGTGCCTTGAGGCTTAACTTAGTATAGTAGCTTTAAAAGAGCTTCAAACGAATTAAAAATTATTTGAAAAGACAAAAATTTGTAAACAACCATCTAACCTTATAACGCCCTTATATAAACTTAAAAGACTATTTAGGAATTTAAACGTAAAAAGATTATAAAAATCTTAAAAATCTCATTAATATGCCTCTATTGTAATATAATTCCTCCTCAGTTAATAAAAATTTCAAATTTTTATACACCGCTCAAAGACCCCTAAGAATTCAAAAAGTCTTAAGTAAGAAGTCAACGTATGTCCAATCAGTTTCAATTTTTTTCAGAATTGAGAGTCCTGACGGCGCTTTTATTTCGCCTGACGTTCCGCCCCACTTTTCTTCCCCACCCTGCTTTCGGTGATTGATAACGGGAGGGGAGCCGCAGTCACGTGGGGGTGAATGTTGTCGAGGGAAATGAGGGGAGGAATTGGACTCTGTGCCTTCATATTCGGTAAACAAGACATTTTTGGAAGGGGATTTATTGGAAAAAATTAAAATTTTTAAAAAAATGGGTTTAGAGGTTATATAATGGGGTAAGTGTAATATTATGGTTTGAAAATAACCTCCAAAACCTGAGCAAAGCAAAAGATTTCAGTAAGCACCTAAATCCTTAAAGGGTCAACAAGATTCTTGTGTTATTTAAATAAGCATATCTTTGTTGACGATAAACAATATCAGATGCATTTCGAAATCTCATTAATTGCGGCGAAAAAACAGCGCCATTTACAGCTTGCACTGGTCAAAGTAAACAACTATAACTTTACAACGTGGCTATTTTAAGACTACACGAAAACATGGTTAGGAAAACAGTGTTTTTAGACAATGATAACACATGTTTTGTGTAAAATAAAACAAAAAACATGTGGTCAATGAAAGTAATGAACTACTCTAACATAAATAACGAACTACCCTAACATAGATTATGCACTACCCTAACATAAGCAATGAAATACCCAAACAACCCCTTTTATACCTTTTTGTAATGACCTTTTAAGTACAATAGAATGACCTATAAGAGCAAGTTTAGCACGTTTCTTGAAGTTTTACAAGTATTTTCAACAAAAAGGGCTGCTTATACAAAAATGCTTGGAAATCCTTGACAAAGATGGTATGGTAAATACTTGTGCTGGGAGTAAATATGTTTGTGCAAGAGGATTTAATTGAGGCCTTTCGTCACGCGTTAAGCATCAAACATCGTTGTTATTTTCCACGGCATTCCGGGGTCAAATTCGATTTGAAAAAGGGGAAAAGTGGAGCTTTTAGTTTACCACAATGATTTTAATTTATAAAGGGTTGAAATGACTAAAAATAAGTTAAAAATTTAAAAACAAGGCCAGGGTAAAGCTAAAAATTCAGTTTTACCTAGAATTGCAAGCTTTTTTACAATTTTACCGAGATTAATGTGAAAAAACCTGCATTATTCAAACTTTTAAAAGTGTTACAAACCAAAAAGGCTAATAATAACATCTTTTTCTACAATTCCATCGACTAATATTAAAATATGCGCTCTTCTCCAACAAAAACGGCACTTTTCGACCAGCTGATGTGGACTTTGGACCGGTGACAGCCTTTTATATTCGCGAGGTTTCCGGAATGAGAGTGACCGGCATTCGGCTTGAAAGACCCCTCCTTTTATCTTAATGTCGTCTTATCTCATCGTAAACGAAAACATTGTTTTTCGTAAAAGAAATGATCATTATTTTCGAAATTTCGCCGTTTTTTTCAACTTTTTTGAAATTTAACTTTTTTTTGAAATTTTCTGGAAATTTTGAGAAATACATAACTACAATTTTAAGTTATACTAGCCTTTTTTGACATTCAAATTTTAAACCTCACCCCTCTCAATCCTGTCTCATAAGTTTTTCTGTATCTCTCCCAAACCAGCCATCCCTTATGTGACCTTTTCTCACCGTCTTCGATGTGACCTTAAAGCACATTAGAACGGTGAGACTGTCTCGCGTCCATCGTTCCTGCCGTGACTGCGCTCTTCACAACTTGTTACAATAGACACAGTTGGCAGAATACGAAAACAAAAGGAATTTTGGGTTTGAAAAGAATTCGGTATGAGAGTTCAAAGTGGACAAAAGTTCAACTGTCTGTGTGAAGGTTGTTCTACAAGTCTTACATCACGTACTTGGGAAGGTTGTTCGACAAGTCTTACATTAGATTTCTTAATAAGTTCAAAGTTAATAAATTCAAAGTTAAGATGATTTTTGAAGATTTATATGTTATTATTGTTATTAATACAAATTTGCTTATACACCTTGGTCCTAAAATCAGCATTTTCATTCCATTTTTTGTTGTTAACTTTTTTAGTACAACTTTTTGTAACATTAAAACTTTAATAGTACTGTCTTTAGTATCATACAACCTCAGATTATATTGTCAACGTTTTAACCTTTAAAGTCCATTTCAAAGTAACCAAAGCTACTGCCACTTTTAATGTTTCTTTTTAACAATTTAAGGTTCATTTTAAGTGAACGTGATCGTTCAAATGTTTTGTCTATAAATAAAAAAGGTTGATGGGATCTCACGCGGTCACTTGACCATTGGTTTTGTAGATCAAAACAACTTTCCGTAAATAGAGTAGGTATGCCTATATTATACATGTTGATCTGATAAACTGAGCTAAAAATACTGTTTTTACAAGAATATGAGCTGTCTGTCAGTTTACTATGAGTTAGCTGTTATAAAAAGCTGTCTGTCACTTAAAAATGGCAATAGAAATGTCAAACTGTCCGTCATTTTATTATAATCATGATAATCTTTACTACTAGTACAATAAGGAACTCTTTTACTGGTATAAGGTTCAACATGATGGTCTTTTTACTGTTTTATTACTTAATTGAATCAGTCAATACTCATTTAAACCTGTCAGCATTGTTTGTCCAAATTAGCTAATCACAAACACCCTTATCACATAAAGGGTCTTAAAGTTCATCAGTTGTTTTGATTGCTTTCATTAATTTGGTTATAACATTGTTCATACAACACGAGGCGGCTGTGAACGTGGTACAAAGTCCAAGGAAATCAAATATCAACCTCGAGAAGAGCTTGTGTTAGAAGTGAGGTCATAGCTTTTGGAAGAATGTGTTTTGATTGAGGGTTAAAGGGGACCAAAAGGTGTTCGAAGGGAACATTGGGGGCCAAAGTGTTGGAGAAAAATGTGATGGTAGGGATAGAGGAGGATAAACAAGTAACGGTAGGGAGAGAGAGAGGGGGAAAGAGAGAGGTTAATGAAGAACAGGATCAGGGGGTTAAAAGCCATGCTATGGCCATGCCAAGCAAAAAACCTGCTAACAAACAGAGAGATAAAGGTCAAAAAGCTCATCTTGAGCAAAACCGGACAAAATCTATTTTGAACAGGCTCCACTTTGAAATTTAAGCCGAACAGAGTTTACGATGTTAGAAGAGGTTAAGAGCTGACAGATAAGAAGAACTCATCCTCAATGTTAAAAAGCCAGCTCTCCTAGATCTGAAGGAACAGACCCTTCAGACATTTCAAAAGAAAAATAATTTGAAACGGAAGTGAAGATGAGGTAAAACAAAAGGGCACAACGTGATGTACATGTTGATCTTGTTTATCCAACGGATTTTGAATCTAAAAAATGTGTTTTTGCCAAAAAAATGTGGCTGTAAAGAATTTTTTGCCAATGATTAGAGATGAATGCTCATCTCTTGATTCGTGAGGTAAATCAACATGTTTTGTCAAAAAGATTTGGCAATGTTTTGGATTTATCAAAGGGTTTTTAATGTGCAAAATACTATGACAACCTACTACATTCATCTTAAAAAACGTAGAAAAATCAAAAAATATTGCCAAATTTTTTAAAAGATGAGTGATCAACTTTTAAAGGTTGAAATTGATTTCAAAGATCATTCTTTGAAGAATTATAAACGTAGAGTTGAAACAATAGTGAACGTTTTGGCCAAAGTCTTCAGCTGATGTTTGTCCAAGAGTTTGGACGTAATCCAGTAAAAGCCGGAAAAACAACTTTAATTTACTTTTAGAATCTACAACAACAAATTTAGAGATTTATGACATTCTTTTGTGTATGGAGGAGCTATTTTTAATCTAGGGAAAATAAAATTAGTTGTGGTATAAAAGCTCACATTCTACTAGGTAGTGGAAGGCTAAAGAAGGGTAAAATTTTGAGAAGGACAGTACAAACGTTTCAAAAAGAGTACAAGCGGTACCTGTTTGTCAATATAAATACACTAGTGCCTATTTCAATGTAATAAATTGAAATTCAAAAACTCAAAAAGTCAAAAAAAGTCAAAATGCCATATTAAAACGCATGTTTTCACATCTATTCCTATTCTTTCAAAGAAACACCGCAACGTGACCTTATTTAACTTAATCGCTTAACCTTGCTAACCATGTTGTGCTACATGATAAGTTGTGTGCAAAACAAGCAAACAACGTTGATATCTTCATTGAGAAATAAACAAATGTGCTTCTTGTACAAAACAAGGTTAACTTCCAAAATTTCGTCAAAAGGTATTGCTCATTGCACGTAACATATCAGTGTATCAGTCTCTGTCACGCTACTAGTCTATCAGCCTCTATCACACTATAAGTCTTGAGATGACTAACTCTGTTATGACTTTACACCGTGCTTGTTACACAATAATGACAATTTAGAAGGCTATTCTTCAACTATTATTACACATTTGATCAAGTGTTTTGATAATACACTACTGATAATATTAAGGCTATAGGTATACACTAATGATAATATTAAGTCGGTCAAATAATTCTGTGCCCCTAAATTCAAAAATTTGGTTAGAAAAGAAGCACATAATTATTTGAACAACTTAATAGTTTTATCTTTATGTTGTTTTAGGTACAATAGAAGATTTAAAGGCTTTGAAATTATTTGTATAACTTTTGACAATATATAATTTTGACATATAATGTACTTTTAAATATTGTGATAACAAGCTTTAAAACATAGTAATTCTAGTTATCTATAGTGTAATAGGTTAAAAAGCGTATAAAAATAACTATTAGGACATAGTACAAAGGTAAAGTTGTAAAGTATAAGTTAAGGAAAAGTGATTGATAAAACTTTATGGTCTTAAGAGTTTTATTGCTAGATATCCACAAGGTTTTAAGTGTAATGACACTGTAAAGCTATAAAAACTATATATATAACAAAAATAAGTTTAAATAATCAGTTTTCTGGTAATCTATAGTGTAATATTAGGTTGTTCACATAACTCTGTACCTCTTAACATTGAAAATTTGCTTTGAGAGAGGCACAGGATTATATGAACAACCTAATAGTACCACTATTAGTGTAAAAGATGTTTTATTTTAAATTTTGAACCTTATCAAAGAAGGACTAATCTATTCTTAGTTCTATCAAGCCAATGTTATAATAGTACATCATATAATAGTACAAAAACCTAGATTTTAACTTCCACTTATCTGATAAACAAAACCCTTTAAGTTTCTTATAGCCCTCTCTTCCTTATCATCAAAAAACATAAAAAACCGTAGAAAACGCAAAAAAATGTAAAAAAGTAAACAATGACAATGTTTTTCATTTATATACAACGACATTGTAATAAAATAATCAAGGAAATAAATTATTAGTGGAACCGTGGAACGTCGAGGCGTGACCGTAGGACTAGACCTTGACATACCATGGTTGTTATTGGTTTATATCAAATGTTAGAGTTGATAATGTTAACATTTGAACTTTTCAGAGTTGATAATGTTAGGATTTGTAATTTTTATAGTAGGTAATGTTAAAATTTGCAAGATATTTTGTTTTACAATAGTATTTATAACAAATTTTTGTAAATTTTAAATTTTTTGTAATTTTTTTTACTGATAAGCTTTTAAATTTAAAAAAAGTTAAATTTTCATTGCTTGAGGGTTTTATTGATCTAAAAACTGTCAAAACGAATAAATTATCTAGAATAGCATGCTAATATCAATACAATGAACTTGGAATATAATAATTTATTGTTGACTCCAGCTGCCGCCGTTCCGAACACGAAATGCCCACAAAATTCGAGAAAAGAGAGAAAGAGAGATGCCTTATGTTAATATCGAGATCTATGTTGATATTCAGATCTATATGAATATTGGGATCTATATTAATATGCAGATCAGATGCTTTATATTAACATAGTGACCAGATGCCTTTCATTAATATAAAGATCAAGTGCCTTACATTAATAAGAAGATCAAGTGCTTTATATTAATATAGACACCAAATGGCTGATGTTAATATAGAGATCCATGTTAATACAGAGATGGGTTATTTGAGATAAGATCGCTGATCACTTGAGAAGAGGTTCTTGAGGAGTGCCGGTCAAGAAGTCGTTTGCCGGCTGGATTGGTGAGGTGTGGCTAGAAGCTTTGCCCGGCTGCACTTTCGAGATCTCTTCCATCACTGGGACTGGGCCGCTAAAATTTTAAAAATTATTTTAAAATAAGGTTAGGAGCATAGAATTATTTGAACAACCTAATTAATTGTTCATGCTAATTTTTAACCTGCGAATTTTAAAAATAAGCCTAAGTTTAATGTTTTGTGACTTTTCCCGATCACTAAGCACAAGCCATGTTTAGTTTGTCTCTTATCACATTTCAGTCTAACGGTTTCCTAATATTGTTATCAGTGTAGTCAAGCAATATAAAACATTAAAGTATACAAAAGTCTAAAGTAAATAGTTAAGATTAAGTAATAGTAAACTTTGACCATTAATTACTCATAATAACTTAGGTTAAAGTCGTCTGTATATTGAGTTGCTAAAATAATTCGGTGCCCACTCCCAAAGAAATTTTCAGTTAGGAGCACATAATTATTTGAACAACCTAATAGTATGGTTAATAAGAAGTGTAAAAATAAGCTTTAATACAACCTACCTTGATGGAGATATCTTGTGAGTACCAGCCAGCTTCGTGGGAGAGATCTTGAACCGGTTGCCCATGGAGGGGTAGATTCTGACTGGTGGTTCATTTGGAGTGTTATCCTCACTCACAAACGCTGCCAACTTCTTTCCACCGAACACATGAGCACAAGTCGGCACCAGCAAGCTCAACGCCATGAACGCGGCTCCAGAAGCAAACAAACAGAAGCCGGCCATCTTCCAGTCGTGCATCGGGTCGCGTAGCACTTCGCTGAATCTCTCCGGCGGGATATAAAAGTTGCCATCCTCGTCTTGACTAATGGCGATCTTCATCAACGACTCTTCTACACTAGTTCGTGGCTTCCACGTGTAGCCGACTACGATCATTCCAGCACCAGCCAAGAGCAGTAGAAGACCGATCAGGGTGACGACACGGCATATATACACACTCATTCTTTGCACCGGCGGAGGGGGCAGGAGGTACCTAAATGGCACTATTAGAGGTGTTTTGAAAGTTTTAAAAATTCATAAAATACACAAAAAAGCCAGATTTTTAAATTCAAAATTCAGTTTTTATACTGAAAACTACAACAACATACCATGCGTTTCCTTCCAAGTCTTCAGCTGTTGGCGACAGGTAAAAATGATGGAGATACGACTTGATGCCAAACTTTTTAGCACCATCTGGACCTAATGTCACTTCGTCGACGACGGCCGACTCCTCCGCCAGCTTTTCATGTTCTGGCCCGGTCTGGCGGCTGAATGGCCAGAACGAGAGACCCTCTCGTTTGGCTTTGTAAAGCCGCATTCAAACCAGTTTGATTTACCCCTGAAGATGATATTGTAATTGAGACATATTGTTCTGGCATTTTCGTATTTTACATTGTTTTTCAAGTTATGGCACGTTTTATATCTGGTCAGATAATAAAAAAAGTCTTGTCGTTAAATTACATTACGTTCAAAAAGAAAAAACGACAAGACTTTTTTGATTGTTATAAAAAAGTATATCTTATACTATGTGACAATAAACATATAATTCTACATTATACTAGAATATATGTCTATATGTTCGTGCTATACAAATACTATTGCCATGTTATTCAATAACACGGCCACATAATAACATAAAGTTGTTCCACGCGGCCAACTTATTTAAATTCATGACGTCACAAACGTAATATAATTATGGTTTCGAAACAAAAAAAGTAATTATCTACAAGTACAACGATTAAAAGTGTCATGTGGGTTGATAAGAGGCATGTGGTGATAAGGCAACATCACTAGAACGTGACAACACCAACATAGACACTTATCTGCTTAGTATTCCGAGAAACGACAACAAGCATTAGTCGTATAAACGTTCGTTTCAATGACAAGGAAGTTGGGATTGTACAATTTTATTGTTTTAGAGGTTTCAAATTGAAAAAAAAGGTTTCAAACGCCATTTTTTAAGCTCAATATTTAAATTGTAAAATGAAAAAAGTAAAGTACTTCTTAAAGTATAGAAAAAAATTGATACTAAAAAATAAAAAAGGCAAATATTTTTTATATAAAATTAAAAGATTATAGTAGAATATAATAGTAAAACCCAAAGGTGATAGAAAAATGAAATAGTAAAAAACGAAAATGTACTTACTATATAAATTTATAATATGAAGATGTACGACACAGACATAACATTAGGTATGAATAGCACTTTTTTAATAATTTATATGTAATTAAAAAATCATCTTTATTTTAATTTCAAGAAATAACGCTTTTACCCCCTCTTCTTTCCTCACAGTTTTTATATAATTTTTTATTCTTCCCTTCCCTACGTCCCTCCGCACCTTTTTTAAATAACTTTTTTTACCCCTCTCTCTTCTAAGGGGAGCAAATTGGACCAATTTATAGGCACGGCCCAAGCCCGAGACGCAAATTTTTTGGCCCGACCCGTTTTCATTTTTTTATGCCGGCCCGGCAAATTTTAAAAAGTTTTTTTAATTTCAAAAAATAAAAAAAAATTTAGCTTTGCGTTCTTTTTTAAATTATTTTATTAGTTGTGATACACAAATAAACAAAAAAATTAAAAATTTTTTTTAATTTTGTGGATCTAGAATACTTTTCAAGCCTATCCTGCTAGCAAAGCCCAACTTTCAGACCCACCTTATTTCCACTTTTGCTCATTCCTCTTCCTCCTTCCTCACCTTTCTAAACCACAATCTCACTCCTCTTCCCTTTGCCCGATCTCGTACTATGATATAAATGGTCATACAAGCAGTTACATGACAAATAACCGAAGCCAAGTAACAATTAAACAACGTTATTGTATACAAAGTATAATTATCACAAAGTAATAGTGTTTGACTACAAGACTGTTATTGTACACAACGTCTTATTATTATTGTGTACGATGTAAGACCACCTTTGTATACATTGTAACACTATTATTGTGTACCATAACAAGATAACTTTATTATAGTATACAAGATAACTTTTATAATTGTATACAATATTAAGCTTGTTATTGGCCACCTCCACACCACAAAACCCCTTACATCCTTTCGTACTGTTACACTTTCGTACAGCCAATATTATTTAAAGGTAAAATTCATGAAGCCCTTTCTCCAAAGTGTGGCCATGACAACAGCCTCACGTCATATGAAGTCATCAAAGCGGCCAAACACGCATACATTATGTGGATTATCTACAACATTGCAAAAGCATATGACAATTCGCGAAAACAATTAAAACAACAATTTAGGGGGGGGATATTTGGGTACTGATAACTAATGATAAGGTCGGCTAGAAGATTAAAAGAAAAAACGTCTCTCGCGCATCGATTTGGCCCGAGGCCACGAAAGGGAGGCAGAGTGCAGTTGTCTTTTTCGTAGGCCCCAGAATTCCTCATGGCCGCAGACTTGGCCATGTTACGAATTCGGCCGCCGAGAATATATATATATGTACACAATTGGGATGTTTTCTTTCTACTCCTAATGGGCAGTAAACGAAAACGGTTACACAATCAATCATATCAAGGTAGAGAATCAGATAAACAATCAAACACACACTAAGGTCAGACTGATCTTTCGCTTTTCTTGCCATTATAAGAAACTTGTCTTTATATCAGTTAGGTAGTGTAAATTGAGGTAAGTTTTTATTATAAATATAAATACATTTTTAATGTTTTTTGTTTTGATACTTTTTTATTTAAACTTTATAAAAGTTTTTGTTTAAATTTACAGAGAAAGTACTCAACCTGTCCTACTGAGGACCAGCTTAAAGTTTTTCTATAAATTCCTAATACCAATATTTAAAGTTCCCGCTAATTTCACAAAATTGGCATTGTGTTGCGAGCCTTTTTTTATTTTCTATAATAGATAAGAAAGCTTACGAATTTATAAATTTAGGTTTTTAAAGGTTTTCTAATAGTATATCAAAGAAAAATGATTAAAAGTTTAAAAATTATAAAGTTATAAGCTTGAAACACAATGCCAATTTGCCGAGAAATTTAAAACTTAATTTCCCGATCTTTTTTAATTGAAAAATTTAAACTTTAAAAAGATTTGAATAGAATTGCAGTAAAATAACAACATAATAAATTGTATTTTTAGGTACAAAATGCTGTTATACAACATAAGACAAGTAGTACAGATAGTAGACGATGATACGGAGTTCTTGACAGGCAAAGATATGTCTAACATCAAAGTAAGTGTAATACTAGGTTGTTAACATAATTCTGTGCTCTCTCTCAAAGCAAATTTTTGGTTATAGAGAGCACAAAATTATTTGAAAAATATAATATTTACAGGCGCAGTTATACACATATGTATATATGATATTTACTGATGTAATTTAAATAAGAAAGGAAAATTCAAGTTTACGGCTTAAGTTAATTACATCACCAAAATCGTCACTGTATTTTACCTTTTTTTTATTTGTAAACCAAACATACTTTTAACCATCATTAAGTACAATATTCGTAAATACTTTAAAGTGCATTGTAATTTAAACAGATTTAAAAGTATTTGTATGACTCAATTACGTTGTGTCTGGTAATTCCTTTTGAAAGCCAGTAATTGTTTACATTGTTGTTTTGTTAAAGATTAATGACATTTCAATTAGGTGTTGACATGTGACCAAGCGTCATTGGCCATTTTGGTCGAAAATGGGAAAATCAAACAAGTTGGACAGTACGATAAGGTATGTTTCCTTCTTCTGAAGCTAATTTCTTGGCTTTACAGTAATAGTTTATGTCATTTTTTACATTTTTAGCTAGTATTTTAATATAATTCCATTTTTAGGTAACATTTTTTTATAAAATAACTTAAGATAACTTAAAAACTAGTAAAACTATCTAAAATATGTATGATAACATATTAAAATGTTCAAATAATTCCGCGCTCATCACAAAGCAAATTTAGCGGTTTTAGGGGCACAGGATTATTTGAATAACCTATAATATTAAAATTGTTAAACTTTTTTCAGCTAAAAGGTCAAGCACAGCCTGAAGTAAATTGCAATGGAGGTACGGTGATTCCAGGACTAGTAGATGGCCATTCTCATCCTGTGTTTGCTGGTGATCGGGTCAATGAATTCGCTATGAAACTGGCTGGAGCTACTTACATGGAGGTAACTTTGAACAACTTTTTATGTAAAAATCGTTTTATTGCTAAAGTATGGCAAAAAATCACTGAAACCCATTGAGACCTCGAGCCCATTGAGACCCCAAACGCCCATTGAGACCTTGAAAGGAGGGTCGGCGAAGGCTTTAGTGTATTCGGCGGAGGCTTTAGGAGGGTCGGCGGAGGCTTCAGGGCATTCGGCGGAGGCTTTAGGGAATTCGGCGGAGGGTCGGCGAAGGCTTTAGTGTATTCGGCGAAGGGTCGGCGGAGGCTTTAGTGTATTCGGCGGAGGGTCGGCGGAAGCTTTAGGAGGTTCGGCGGAGGCTTTAGTGTATTCGGCGGAGACTTTTATGCATCCGCCGTGTATCTACCCAATTTTATCCCTAACCTTTTTAGCCCTACCCAACCTTACCCTTGCTCATTTTACCCTACCCAACTATACCATACCCATCCTTTATAATATACCATACTATACCCTATTGTACTTAATATACCGTATCCCACCATAACCTATCCTATCTACCATGCTAAACCCTACAATACTCTACTATACAATACCATACCATACTTTACAATACCATACCATACCATACCATACCGTACCATACTATACCAAACTGTACCATACCTTACCTTATTCAACCTTATACAAAACTACCGTGTACTATTTGTGTGTATAGTAGAATAAGTCAGTAAAACAACATAAATGGTATAATATAGTCAAGTATAGTATGGCATAGTATGGGATAATATGGTACGTTATATTATTACTAAGTTCTCCGCCGAATCCCCTAAAGCCTCCGCCGACCCTCCTAAAGCCTCCGCCGAACCTCCTAAAGCCTTCGCCGAACCTCCTAAGCCTCCGCCGAATGCCCTAAAGCCTCCGCCGACCCCCCGTCGAATCCCATAAAGCCTCCGCCGAATTCCCTAAAGCCTCCGCCGAATCCCATAAAGCCTCCGCCGAATGCCCTAAAGCCTCCGCCGAATGCCCTAAAGCCTCCGCCGAATGCCCTAAAGCCTCCGCCGACCCTCCGCCGAATCCCATAAAGCCTCCGCCGAATCCCCTAAAGCCTCCGCCGAATGCCCTAAAGCCTCCGCCGAATGCCCTAAAGCCTCCGCCGACCCTCCGTAGAATCCCATAAAGCCTCCGCCGAATTCCCTAAAGCCTCCGCCGACCCTCCGCCGAATCCCATAAAGCCTCCGCCGAATCCCCAAAGCCTCCGCCGGCCCACCTTTCAAGGTCTCAATGGGCGTTTGGGGTCTCAATGGGCTCGGGGTCTCAATGGACCCGGGGTCTCAATGGGCGCGAGGTCTCAATGGGAGGGATTCCAAAAAATACTTGAAACAACGTATATTTGCTTCAATAACGGTCTATTTTTATTACAATGTAAAGCTCTTTGACTCGAAATTGAGCTATATCAAGAGAATAAACACTACCTACCTTCAGGTTCAAAAAGCTGGTGGTGGAATTCACTTCACAACGCAGAAAACCCGTGAAGCTTCTGAAGCCGACCTCCTCAATGACTTCAAAACCATCCTATCTAAAATGCTCTCATCTGGCACGACAACTCTTGAAGCCAAGTCCGGCTACGGTCTTGACACCGCGACTGAACTCAAGATGCTAAAAGTAATCAATCAGGCTTCCCAAGAGTCTCCAGTCGAACTCTCGGCTACATTTTGTGGAGCTCATGCTGTACCAAAAGGTGTTAGTGAACAAGAACAAACCGATCTTATTGTTAATGAAATGATACCTAAACTGACAGAAGAACGACGGAACGGTGGGTTAAAGACATTGGAGAACATTGACGTGTTTTGTGAAAAGAACGTGTTCGAACTGGAGACGACGAAGAGAATTCTGAAGGCTGGAGTTGAGGCTGGATTGCATATTAACATCCATGCTGATGAGCTTCATCCATTGGGTGGGGCTGAGTTGGCTGCTGGACTAAAGGTAAGTTTTAGATTAAAAAATATTTTAAAACAAAGTTTTTTGAAGTTGTAGTAGGTATTCTCCTTTCCTAAATCTACTACAATATCATAATATCTTAATTTCTCCAGGCCAGAGCAGCCAGTCATCTAGAAGAAATTAGTGAAAATGGCATACAAGGAATGGCCAAATCAGGCACAGTAGCCGTCTTACTACCCACAACTGCCTATATCTTACGCTTACAACCCCCACCAGCTAGGAAGATGATCGATTCAGGAGTTACAGTAGCCTTGGGATCTGACTTCAACCCAAATGCTCATTGCTTCGCACTTTCAATGGTTATGCATCTGGCTTGTGTTTTGTTCAAAATGAGTATGCCTGAGGCGTTGGTGGCTAGCACGTTGAATGCTGCTCATTCTTTGGGCAGGGGTAGAAGTCATGGTGCTATTGCGGTGGGTCTTTTAACGTTTTTTTGAAATTTTTGGGTTATACGTTCAACAATATTATTCTAGGTATGGTATAATAATGTTATCCTAAGTGATGATTGAGATATTAAAGTTTACTTTTTGCTTTATTTCAGCCTGGTCGTGTTGCCGACCTTGTCGTGGTCGATGCTCATCGTTGGGAACATCTGATTTACCAATTCGGCTCTCACCACGATCTTATTCGTTTTGTCTTCAAAAACGGTTCTATAGTATACGAAAGGAAGTAGACAAGAATAAATATAATATTTAAAAATTTTGTATTGAGTGTAAAAAGAAAATATTAGTCTTATAAGAGTGCCAAAGGTCAACAATACCTATTAAAAAGTATGAAGTGACATTTCTAAATGACATTTTACGCAACCGCCTTTGTAACTTCACCTTCAAACTTACGATACTTTACTTTTCAAAGCACAATAGTTATGAAATCAAAGGTATACAGTTTCCGACAGGCCGGAATCGACGAAATCGGAGGTTTATCGACCACCGGATAAAGGACCTTACCGGGTTAAAGACGAGTTTAAAGACTCCGACGGCGTCAAGGTGAGTTCTTTTTTACTCTAATTTCGATGGCCTTGGAGTAAACACGCAAAGCCTCAAATCCGCGGAATCCGCGAAGACCGACGATCGGCGGATGAAGCCTGGATTACCTCAGTTTACGCAATCGACATGAGTCGTAGACGGTCGCTCCTAATCCTACTATGCGCTTTCACCCGAGTCTACGGCCAAGGCGGATGTGGTGGTGGGCCACAATGGCCACCGCCGTCTCCGCCAGTCTATGTTCCGCCTTCTCTACCACCCCTGTTTGGTCCACCACTGCCGTGTAATCCTCAACCGTGCAAGGGATGCCCGCCGGAGAATCGACTGCCGCCGTTGGTGAATCCGCCAAACGTGTTTCCGGAAGTTGCACCAGGTAAGGCTAAAAATATTCTTAGCTTAATGTAAAATACGGGCTTGTGCTATCAGTTTTTATACAAATTTGATGACATATAGTAATGGTTTATGTGCCAAATACTATCCAACTTTTAGAAGAATACCTAAACCGTCTGCCGTTTCAACCAAACAAAGTAGTACTAAAAGAAACCAAAGTAACTCGGGTACCTAACGTTGAAGTATCTTCAAACTCTTCAGAAACCGACCAACGAGTACCACTGCCACCGATAGTACCACAAGTCTCGTACAAACAGCCCTACTACCCATATGGTCGACCTCTCTACCCAACCGGACCACCAACCTTCCCACCTCAAACCGGATGTCAATACCCAGCTCCACCACCTCCTCCATTATTTACCCTGCCCCCACCACCACCTCCGTTACCGTTGCCTACCATACAATTACCACCCCCGCCTCCACCACCCCCTCCACCAGCGCCTCTGCCAACTTTTACTCTACCGCCTCCTCCTCCTCCCCCGCCAGCTCCATTGCCGTTACCACTCCCACCACCGCCAATTTTGTTCCCAGCTCCAGTGTTTCCTCCACCCCTCCACAACTGTTGTACTAGATGTGAGCCATGTGCTGTGACATACCCAACCTCATATCATTCAAAAGGACCCAAGAACTTTGTGGCCAAGACCCACAGCTTCAACAAAACGATTGATGACCCGTTCTGCTCGAGTCAGATGCTCAAGAAGATCATGGTTAATGTGAGTTATGCCAATATACCTCTTTGAATTTCAGCCAAATTTACATACTAGGTCCTCACAAAGCAAGTTTTCAGAGTTAGGAGCACAGAATTATTTGAACAACCTTATATTTTATTACTGATATCTTATAGTACATTAATATAAACAATACGAAGAATTTACTTCGTATTTTACCAAAAAAAGCCCAATTTCAGGCCAAAAACTCAACCATAGCCTTGGCCAAGCTTCAAATCCAAAAAGCGGCCGAATTGGAGAACCAAGGTTCAGTTTACCATGTCATTTGCTCTTCTACCGACTTAGACTACGCTACACGGACAGAAGAGTACTGTACTTCTGAAGTTATCAATGGAGTTTGTTACGCTTTCAAGTCTTGATATTGTTTTAGTCAATAAACTTAGAAAATAGTTACACGGACTGTTTCACAAAACTTTTAGCCCAAAAATTGAAAAGCGTGCTAAAAAGTTGTAATCCATATGAAAAGAATACTTTCGGAACATACTTTACCCATAGTTAGCAGTTAATTAACAGTTTAAATCTTAAAAATCTGTTTATTGCAAAATATAATCGATATTATAGTAGTTTAAATGATATTCGATGAGAAAAGTAGAACGATTACAATAATATAACATAAAGTTCGTCCAATTGAGCATTAATGATGAGATCGCGTTTGGTTTTCTGATTCGTAAAACTCTTTTGTCATAGTATCACAGTAAGTATTTACATTGTACCACGTTACAGTAATCATTTACACATTACCATATCACGTTCAGTAGTTACACATTACATTTTTCTCTCCGATTACTGTAACTTCCAGTAGTTGCACATTACAGGGCAGAGCATAATCTTTAAGTTCTCTTCGCCATATTATAGTAGGTGTTCGTAATATTATAGTAGGTATTTACAATTAACCGTGGCCAAGATCAAGCACTAACTAGAATTGTCTCAACTTTTGGTTCACCGTTCTTGTCATAGTCGACCTGGTAGTAATCTTTGCCCGCATCCAATTTTAGGTATGAGTATTCGTCAGTTATGGTCTCTAGTTGCTTCGCCAAAAGTTGTCGGACATCCGAGAAGGATGGTCGATTTTCTGGAGATTGCTCCCAACATTGGGTCATGATTTCGTAGCTAAAATAATGTAAAAGGTAAGCATTACCAGTGCGTATTTTACAATACATTATACTAACACCTTTAGTAAAAATGATGTTTTACTTTGAAAAAGTAAGATTTAGATATGAAAAAGCGGTTTTTTGTAAGATAAAACATTATATCTTTTCAAAAACAAAACTTACAAAGTGTCCGGGCAATTGTCCGGCTTGTCCATTCGTTTTCCGTCCTCCAAGAAGCCCAGCATGTCTTCTGGAGCCACTCCAGGATAAGGCGTACCTCCCAAAGTAATAATCTCAAACATCAAGATACCAAACGACCACACATCTGACTTGGTAGTGAACTCGTAGTGCCTGATAGCCTCAGGCGACATCCACTTCAACGGTAATCGACCGCCTTTACTCTTGTACTGTGCTGATTCTGCGTAGATGTAGCGACAAAGACCAAAGTCTCCAATCTTGGCACAGTTCTTATCGTGCACGAGAACGTTCCGTGCAGCTACATCACGATGAACAAAGCCTTTGTGACTCAGATACTCTAGACCGTAGCTAATTTGAACCGAGAACATGAGAAGCTGCTTCAATGTCATCACCAACTCCTGATCTACAGATTCATCGTCAAGTTCTACACCGTCGTTCTCCAACTTCAACATGTAATCACAGCGCTTCTTCAAGAATCTTTGTAAGTCTCCGTCGCTACAGTACTCTACTATTAAACAGTAGGGTTCTGAATCCGTGATACAAGCCAACATATTGACTAGACGTTCATGGTAGCCCAAGGTCTTCATTAAGCCGATCTCACGAAGAAACTCTTGTTTGGATAGATGATCAGCATATTCTGGCAACATCTTGACCGCCACTTCACAATTCTCAACTCTCATCAGGTTGACGCCGAGAGTTGATTGGGCACCTTTAGAGCCTTTGGCTGATCCTATCAGTTTGCCAAGAAAAACTGCTCCAAAAGCTCCTGAAATTAAAAAATTAAGATTTTAAAACATATTTCAATTTAAAAACTGTATAGTAAAAACAACCGTATTTTACATTTAAAAAAACAAAAAAGCCAATGAAAAGTATCGTATTTTAAATAAAAACTAATAAATTTCATATGTTCAATTCGAATTTTCAAATGTTAGAGCAATAAAACTAGAAAAATATTAATATGTATTATATTAATCTTACCCGACCCAAGAGGTTTATCATTGTAGATGATCAGATTCCGCCGTTCCAACTCCCACAAATCCTGTATTTTAGGCATATCAGTGTACCTATTATCCGAATATCCGGCCGAATGACTTTGTTCCAGCTTCTTCTTCTCATTCTTCCATTGTTTCTCTCTTCTACATTGACAATACGCCAACAATGCCATGGCTGCCACCACCGCCACGATGCCCATAACAATATAAAGCCATGTCTTCGATGGTCGATACAACTCCGAGTTAAAGTAGATCATATCAGCCTTTGGCTTCACACTCTTCGGTGAGTTCAGGCGAGGAAAGTCGAGGTTGTTCGGATCTCTAACTCCACATAACATCACTCCATACACCGTGTCCATCTTCAGATTCGGAATCACGATGGAATTACCAGTCGAATTGACACACTTCCTGCCATTCTTCCCATCACTGCCACTCACATCGACCACAGGACAGTTGCTGACTCTGCCAATCTCAGTGGTCAGGTTGACACCCAGATAGGTAGCCTGAAAGTGCAGAATCTTAATTGTGGTCGGTCAGCTTTAGTCTCAGACCGTGCAATAACCGTTGTCGCATACTCACCTTCTCCATATTGTCGTACTTTTCTGCGTTACCATACAATGCTACAAAGTATAAGACGTCTTTTTTGATCTTCTGCATCGGTTCAAAAGTAACGTTCACAGTGATGTTGGACGAAGGATCCGACCAGTCGGTTGCGACTTCGTTTACAATTTTGTATTTGAAATTGTCAATTTGGCCACAGACTGGGCCTTTGGCCTTTTGCTCCAACGCGCAGTTACTGTTTATCACGTTGGAACAGTCTAAAGTTATAAAATATAGCTGAAAGTCTTAAAATTTTTAGAAACTTCAAAAATAAAATAAAATTTAAAGTTCAAAAACTTACTGATATACATAATATTAAACGTAGTATCAAAGTTGAAGGTCTTTTTACATTGAGTTGAGCTGACTTTCTGTAACCCATAGCTGAATATACACTCTCGGTGCATATAATCAGCTGATGCTACTCCGATCAACGTCCTTGGTCTTGGTCCTTTGTACTAAACATTGATCAAATATTAATAAAAATTTTAACTTACAAATTCTGGGTTTTCACTGCCAAGAAAGTCTGGTTTTACACATTTTACATTGTGGAAGTTGACGTCTACTACAAGGTCGTCGTCTCCTAATGGCCATTCTGTAAAAGATAGCTACATTACATTGCAAGATATGCTTTCAAACTAAGTTTTAATAGACTGCCATTGTTTTTGCATCAAAATAAAGGTTTGAAATACCAAAATATATTAAAATAGGTTAATTGTTACCTAAATAATAAAAATTTCAAAAAAATAACCGAAACAATCAATATCACTATAGAAAATCCCAAAGTTAAGAAGAAACACCACACCTTTACTGTCGTATGCCATGACAATTTCCACAGTACCATTCGGATACTTTGTATTTGCCTCAGGCGGTTTATAAGTACTACTCAAATGAGTCAAATGAGATAAGTCAGGTTCAGGTGGCAGAATTGTAGCTGGATCACTAAAAGCACCAATACCAACTTTAGATGAAACTGAGGCTATCCTAAAGTCTAATGGCTCACAAACATCAGCATCTTTCATAGAAAAGTTGGACAAGTAGTTCTGGTTCACTATCTAAAAGTTACTGAGTAAAACAGGGCAGTAAAACTTAAATTTTTAATAGGTAAGCCTTGACACATTAATAAATGTTTTTAACAAGATTTATAATTCAATTTCAAAGAATTTTTTAAAAGTTTAATTTGCAAAAGCATGTTAAAAATTATGTTTACAGCTGCGCCCACAATAACAAGATTTTGTAAAATTTAAAAAATTGAAAAATTTAAAGTAATGCTCGAAAAAAGTTTTAAAACCTAATTTTAGTTACTTTTTGGTATATATCTACAGAACAGATTGAACTGCCTTCAAATACCTTTCAATTCCAGAAAACCGCAGTCTGCGAACCCATTTTATACACAGATTTCTCTAAATCAAAAAATATTTCAAACTTTTCCTTACCAGCTGATCAGAAACGTCCCACTGACTTTGGGAATGTTGTTTGAATTGTACTACGAATATTTTGGCATCTTCTTGAGCATTCCAGTTGATATCAACGTACATATTGCGGTTGTAAGTGGCAGATATATTGAATGGTGCGGTTAGAGCTTCTTTCTCTTCTGACGACAGACTTTCATCTGAATCCTTCAAATCTTTACACTTTTTCCAGCATTTTGGGGTTTTCTGAAATTTGTTTTGGTTATTTTAGGTTTGATTTTTTATTTGTACTTTCTTTTTTTTAAAAATTTAAATTTTTAGGTTTATTTGTTACCTAAAAATAAACAATGAATTTATTTTGGAATTTCAAGAAATCTAAAACTTACACACAAGGTCTCTTCTCGATAATCTTTACATTTTTGTCCACAAGCTTGGATTCCCTGAAAAAATTTTAGGTAACAAATTTAAAATTTTCAGGAAAAAGCTTAAATCTTACATTCATTTAATCCAACTCTCACCTTATCCTTATCCAAGCACTTGGCTACGCAAATCAGAAAACAATTTTCGGATTCAGTAGTGGATTCTGTCGTGCCAACGAGCACGATCAAGATTGCCCATAGGAACGGGCTCATCGTCGCTTATCACGTATCATAAACTGAAAATAAAGTTGTTTGGGAACGTCAAGTCACGTTGGGGTCAATTCGAGATCAACGTGGAGTTTTTGGGTTTAAAAATGCAAAGCCTGCGTTTACATTGACGACGAAACTCGATTTAAACGTTCATGAACATGAGTAATGGCGGTTTTTGAGGTTTAAAACAAGATATCACTGTTAAGTAGATGTTAATCTTGACAGTTTTTGAAGCGAATGGTGAAGTTGGATTTTTTTAATGATTTTGCTACAAATTTTAAAGAAATTAGACGTTTTGAGGCTTTTAACTACTTAAAAACTCAACTTCATCACCCTATTTTAGCCAGCAAAAAAGTCTTGTCGCCTTTCCTACTGCAATTTAAAGCAAATTAACGACAACGCTTCCTTAAATCTATAATAACACTATTCCTTTTCAGAAACAAGACTCAAAGACAAAAGATCACCCGTTACCCACACGCACCCTCTCTCTTACTCATTACCCGTCTACTACAATATCAGCAAAGGATATCCGCTCTCCAGAATCCACCTTATCAGATGGAAAAGGCAGAGGTAGTCAAAAACAATTTCAAATCGATTTCTCGCAAAGTAAACGAGGGTATCTCCAAGGTAAAAAAAACGAAGAGACAGCGATTAATGCGCGACGTAGTAACGGTACACATAAATATTGTCATAGTCGAAAGCAAACGTTTTCCGAGGTTTTACTTTCACAATATGTGATTTATCACTTTCATATCAAGGTTATAGTTGAGGTTTCTTTAGCTTATTGTTAGATATTATAACATAAAATGATTTTTTGAAGATATGGGTGGCGTAAGAAGTAGGGCAGGGTAACGTAGAGTAGGGTATAGTAAAGTAGGGCATGGCACAACAGGATAGGGCGGGATGGAGTACGGCATAATAGAGTAGGGTACGGCAGGACAGGGAAGGTAGGGTAGGACAAATTAAGATAGGGCAGCGTGGTGTAAAGTAAGGTAAGGTAGGGCAAAGCAGGGTTGACATGAGGAACAGGTCGGGCTTTGATCCAGATTTAGGGCGGGCTTGGCCCGAAAAGCCCGGCAGTTTGCACGTAAAACAATTTGGGCCGGGCTTGAGCAAAATTTAGATCGGACCAGGCTTAACTCTCAGGCCCGGCCCGTTCATCATGTCTAGGGTAGGGTAGCGTAAAGTAATGTAAGGCAGGTAAAAAATGTTTAAAACTAAGTGAATATTCTACTTCTAAACTTGCCCGAAAACCAACCACCCCTAATTATAAGTTAAAAAGGGATATTTCAAAATTTTTCGAATTCATTTTACCTTGACGTTTTACCTTCGCAAGAAAACGCATTTGAAATGACGTCAAAATCAGCCCAAAACGGTGTTTTTCTGAAGCACCTCGAAGCTGACCGGTTCCTCGCTTCTTCGCGGACCCTCGAGGCGAGTAATAAAACCCGGATAAAACCCCAAAATAAAAGTAAAAGTCGTACAATAAGTGCAAACAAAGGAAAGGTGTTACAAGTCCACCAAGACGTTGAACTCGGAATGGACGCACAATCATTGCTCTTTCCGGTTGTTAGTTCTAAAGGGGGAAAACATCAAATTAAATGTTGTCTTATGTGAAAGTAATAGACTTATATATAGGTAGAGAGTTAACTTTGTTGAAGGTATAGACTTTACTTTCTAATAACAACAAATTAAAAACAAAAACATCATCAAACTTCTAACTTATAGCAATAAAAACTTAAAATAATGTTTTTAAACTCAATGCCCCCGGCATGATCATGTCCCCTCTCTGCCCTAACTTCAAGTAAAAAACTACTGAGAGTTCATTTACCACACCAAACATGAACATAACAAAAACATATTGAAATTTGCAACTACGGTCTCACAATCTATTGTATATGGCAGATTACTCAATCGCCTACTCAATCGAAAGTAAAATACTAGTACAAATAAACATTCACACGACTTGTACGTTTTGAAATTTTTAAATTTTAAAGACAAATTTGTATTTTTGGCAATTTATTCATTGTGAAGGTATTGCTATAGTATCTTTATTATAAAAACATTTTTTATAAAAGAAAAGTTTTGTTATTGTCACTAAATGATCTAAAAAAAGAACCCGACGTGCCTCAATCAGAATCAGCTCATAATTTTTTTTAATGAATTTTTTGTAGAACCAATAGGACTTACAAAAAATTTTAACTTGCGCCATTGATACAAAAACAAAATAAAATCATTAAAGAGTGAAAACTTATGTTAACCACAAAAAAGCTAAATCTTGAATATCGAAAAAGTCGACCTTGACCTGCGATATAAATTAGAATATTATAAAAATCATGAGTTATTTTCCTTGCAAAAGGAAAGTTTGAAATCAAAAATGCCAGTAGGTAAAATTAATATTCGTTGATAACAGCCATATTTCTACATTGTCATAGTGCAACAACAATTTCAAATTTTAAAATTTTGTAGTTTAAAAATAAATCAGTGAAATCTCTTTATATAGTATGGACGCTGATCCAGCACGTTGAGTGACATAATAATAAGGTTTTATTGAACTTTTAGTCATGTTTTATGTGGGATAACTTATTCTGAACACTAATCGTTAATTTTGTATCTTAACTTCTATTTCAGAATCAAGAAGCAATGTATATTAATGTGTTTTGATGGCCACTGTATGTATAGCCATGCTGCCTCGGTAATCATTATTATTGTCATGGCCATTACATGAGCATGCTACCTTGATGACTCTGGTCATGCTACTTCAATGAATATGACCATGCTACCTTGCTGACCATTACTCATGTGTTGTGTTTAACGCGCGGTAGTTTGCGCGTATTCTAGACGATTCCTCGCTCCGTATATGACGTACATCTTCGTTCATATCACGTTTTAATTGAAATAGCACAGCTCTTCTAAGTATATAAACATGGATTCTGTTTGCGTTGGTCTGCGCTTTATTTGGTAATTGTTGTAGACGAGGTACGGGTGAGGGGTAGTAGAGGGTACTGTATTGGCAAGAGGGGATCTGATGGGAGGGGATACTGTAATGAAGGGGAGGGGAAGCACAGAATTATTTAAACAACTTAATATTTAAAAACATATTGTTTATTAAAATTTGCTTTGTTTAGTCAAACCTTGTTGTCAATTATGTGACCTTTGAAAGATCGGTTCCCATCAAGCAGTCATTGTTCAGAGTTTACAACATATAAAGGCTGCATTTTAATATAAAACTGTATCTTTTCATAAAACGTTAAAACCATTGTTCAGGACAAAACAATACCAATTTAAAAAATTTAATCTGAATTAAAAATAAAAGAACATCTGTTCGTCCTTCTTTACCGCTTTATTTAAACAGAACGTGACTGCAGTATCAAATACGGATCGTTACATAACATTTGAACTTTGGTAGAGTCAGAGATCTTGAAGTTGAAGCTTTTAGACGGTTTATTAATATGAAAAAGGTAGTAAGAGGTACTGTAACGAAATAGAGAGGGAAGTGATGAGAATATTGTATTGAGAGAAGAGAGAGGTGATGGTAGCGAATACTGTAATAGGAAGACAAGGGCCTGATGATAAAGGTTTTAGTTGGTATGAGAAAACTAAAATTCTGGCCTAAAAGTCAGGTTGGGCGAGAGGTATTTTTATATATTTTATAAGGCGGGGGCTGGAGTAACAATCCCATTTTCAAAAATTCAATTCCAAGGCAAATAATATTTATATTTTTGTGCCAAATGCGTTTGTAGCAATCTACTAACTATTGTATTCCTCGATTAAAGAGAAATAATAGAATTTGATGCTATATTCAAAAACCTTGTTTTGAATATGGCATTAAGTACCATTAAAGTCGCCGCTTAATGGCAGAGTTTTAAAGAGAGATCTCTGGCCAGACGCTTTGGCCACAAACCCTGTCGCTTGTTTCGTGTTTTTTTTTCATGAAAATAAAACGGCCAAAGGCAAAGAGTACGAATAGACGAGCAAAAAACGTAAAGTAAGCCAAAGTGGCAAAGGACTTTTGGACTTGGACCGGATGGTTTTGGGGTTTTTTTCGGGATTTGGAGGGTTAGATTTGGAGTTTATAATGTTTTGGGATTAAGATTACAATTTTTTGGTATACCATTTTTATCGGGCTTCTAAAACTTATGTTTTTATATATTAAAGTGCATTTAAAAAAATATTGTTTGATAAAAATAAAGATATGTTTAAAGACCTACAATTATATGTTATGTATAACTGCCAGACTTGATAAACATGAACAGCTTAAGGGAATTACACTTGAATACCCCCAATTAGGCCGCAGACTTAAGGGGGAGGACGTTTAAGACCAAAAGTCGGCTGTGCTAGACGCTTCTAGGCTCCACAACAATTTTACATATTATGGCAAATACAAGTCTGAACAGCTTGTTTATACTACGGCTTTAATGTAGGTATTAGAGACATATTTTTAATATAGGTATTAGAAAGGTTTTTTATTTTTATGTTGAGGTATAATTAATATAAGCTTGGAAATTATGTTGTAATCATAATTTATCATGAATTTTTTGAGCTTTGAAGCATTTTCCTTACTTTTAGCAAACATTATTCTTACTTTACAGTCTTGAAACTTCAAAATAATGTAAAGTATACCAGTTTTTCATGGTAATATAGCCAAAATTCCTTAAATTTCAACTTAATGTTTACACTGCTCGCAATCCTTTCTATAATTTATGTTGTTGAACTTTGCGGCGTTCCAAAAGGATTTCCCCCAAGCTTAACTCAAGACTCTCGACTCGAAAATGTCTCGATATCCATGCATAACACACAAATTGCTTTCAACTTTTGAACTTCCTTCTTCTGGCCCAACATTTGCGAAAATGAGCTGTTGTGTGTTCGCATTTACATCATCGTATTGTGCGCCTTGTATTAGTTTAATGAGCTGAGTTAAATTTATATCGGAATTGCATCATTTTCCTTCGTTTTTCGTTTTTTTTTCAAAACGAAAGGGCGTTTTCACAGACAACACAGCTCGTATATATACCAGCCTTGCGTGCAACTGCTTTTATGTGTTCCACACAACGTGCTACACGCTCCATTGTGTGGGCTTTTGGCTTACGGGGTACTAGGATAGGATTACTGTGATATAAACTCTTTAAAGATTTTTTTAATAGTAAACATGGGCAGTTACTTATAATAATGGTTGATAATTAAATTTTTTGTCTAATAAGTACTACTCTTTAACATTCTCATCTTACTTCTGTTCTTTTATTTATTAACTTTTGTCTCATCTGAGTCCGGGCACGATTTGCCTGATTTTTGGCATTCTGCTTTACTTTAGAAAATAAAAAGAAAAATAAAAATTTCGGAAAAGGCGTCTGGAAAAATGGCCGAAGTCTCGAGTATCGGGCCGAAAAGGCCAAGAATGGAAGAAAGGAGGCCTCCGCTGGACTGTAGCCATCGGCTACTGAACCAATCTCTAGACATCTTCCACCTTCTGATCGGAGTGACAGGAAGCGTCGCCACGATAAAACTCGAGGAGTTAATCGCTGATCTTCGCAAGAAGTTTGATGAAAGTAAATTGGTTATTAAAGTGAGTTTTTTCAGTCTTTAATGTGCAGTTTTATACTTTTTAATAGTTTTATTGTTATTTTTTTTTCTTGATAAATTTATATTGACATTTAACTTAAGGTGGTCACAACTTCTGCAGCGTTAAACTTCTTTGATCCCAATAAACTAGAAAGTGAAGGAGTGATAGTATATGAGGACAGTGATGAATGGAACATGTTTAAAAAGCGGGGAGACCCTGTTTTGCATATTGGTAAGGCTTTATATTATTTTAGGTGGCTTGTATTGAAAAGGTCATAACTCAATGTGGTATGACGGGTGTTGTCTATAGTTTTAGGTGCAGTTAGGGAAGGTTATAGAGTATTGGTATGCGGAGTATTTTGAGTTTTGAAAATTTGAAAAATTATTTATGAATGATTTTGTTGGGGTATGTTTTTGTATTTTGCAAATGAAAATTGGTTTTATGACGAATATTTGAAGTCTTTGCAAAAATTTAGTGTTTTTATTGACGTAAGTGGATAATTCTACTTTTGAAAATTAAAAATTGTTTTAGACATGAAAAACAATGTTTTAGGTTAATATTCACTCACGACTTTTCAGATTTACGCAAATGGGCCGACGCCTTTATAATAGCACCATTGGACGCGAATTCCTTGGCCAAGATATGCCATGGTTTGTGTGACAATCTGTTGACTTGTGTGGCCAGAGCCTGGGACTTTAACAAACCGTTCTTCTTCGCGCCGGCCATGAACACTTGTATGTGGGAGCATCCGGTGACGGCCGAACAGGTCAAAAAACTTATTGTTGTGTTTGGTTGCAAAGTAAGTTGTTATACTTAAGTTTTTGTAAAATACGTTAGTAGCGTCTTAATATATGGAAATATGCTATTTACATTGTAAATTTTATGTTTTTAAACTTTCAGAGAATGAAGTACGTTTTTAAACTACAAATTAAGAAAGGCGGTGTAAAATAGAGTAATTTTACTGTTTTGACATGAAAATACTTTTATTTTTCAAGGAAAATGGCAAGATCGTGTTACATTTTAATAACTAAAAACGATTTTACATTGTTTTGTAAAACTGTTTCATAAGTTTTCGTTCGAATTGCTTTGAAAGCTCAAAAGTTTTTTAGATTTAAGTTTTTTAAAATTGAAAACTAATTCTAAATTTTGCTACAGTAAATTTTGCAAAAGTAATGTGATTTTAAGAAACGCACATTTGGAGGTGTAATTGTGTCTATGAAAGTCTAACTGTATAGACAAAGATTACACGTTAATGTGCTGTTATTAGCTGGGGAACGCCATATTAATCAAAGCGAGACTTTGCTGTTATCGTTTTTTGTTTGTGAGTAACAATGGAGTAATCTTTTGAGAGATAAATGGGTAGCTTTCAAATGGCAATAGAGTAAATTATTGTTTTTGTTGAGTTTTTACTAGGTTTTTGGCACTTTTAAGGGTTTGGACATGATTTTAGGTTTATATTAGCTTACATTATGAAATTTTTGGACAATTTTTAATATTTTAGGTCACAAAATTTTAAATTTTTTTAAATAAGCTTATTTTTTGTCTAAAGGATTAAAATAATATAAATTACTTTCAGGAGATACCACCGATGGAGAAAGAGCTAATGTGTGGCGATAAAGGCTACGGAGCCATGGCCAAGATACCAATGATCTCTTCGGTTATTACCAGTGCCATTAGGGACAAATTTGCTATTAGAACTAAGCTTAACGACGGTTTTAAATAGGCGGTCTTGAACTGTTTTATGTTAACCTTGTTTCAAAACGAGTATTTTAATATTTAAAACGCGGAATTTGAATATTTGTCTTATCTTAAAATCTTGTTATAGTTAACTAATATTAACGGCAATGTTGCAATTGGTTTAGTATTTATTAAAACAATTTGTTAATAATAAACAATAAGGTACTGACACTAGATTTGATAGTATTTTATCGACTAGTTTTACTTTTTTCATTTGATATTACTCTGTCGTGCAAGTTGTTTTTATATTAATAGTTACTATCGAGAAGATGTAAGACTATGTTTACCTTAGTAACACGTACATATTGGCAATTATAATGACGTTTTCTTTACGTGCTTTTAACCATTTTTTCAAGGTATTAATTTCATTTTTAGCTACCGAAATGTGGGTATTCGGCTATGGCAGCTTACTATGGTACACTGACTTCCCATACGAAGCCGTGATCCCAGGTGTAGTCCAGGGCTACGTACGACGATTCTGGCAAATGAGCCCCGACCACAGAGGTACCGAGACCAAACCAGGACGCACTGTGACGTTGGTACCACAAGATGGTGGTATGTGCTGGGGATTGGCGTACAAAGTGCCCGAGGAACATATCGAGAACACGATTGCCTACCTGAACTTCAGAGAAAGGGCCGGCTACAAGAGAGAAGTCGTGGAGTTCCATCCGGACAATGGAGAAGAGCCGTTTGAGCTGAGTGTCTATATCTCTTATCATCACGAAGACAATATTTATCATACTGGACCGGTTACTAACGATGAGATTGTGGATGTGGTAAGCCTTTACACTATTTGTTATGTTCTATGATTACATATTATACAATAGTATTGCTCATTTTCGTCGTTTCTATATAGGTGGTGGCAGTCTTTTGGAATACTTTAAGTTTTTAGGTAACATTTTTAAAATTTTCTTTACTTAAAACGTATTTTAACTATTTTTTCAGATTCTTTCTTCAAAAGGTCGCACCGGAACCAACCTTGAGTATGCCCTAAGGCTAGCTGACATTCACAGGCGACTAGCACCTCATATCCACGATCCTCATCTTTTTGACATTGAGAGGCGGCTTCTGAAAGCTTGTGAATCGAAAAGGATACGAGACAAGATTCTCAACATTCTTGGTCACAACCTGCCACATTTAAAGTCGGCGTGACATTACTTTCTACAATAATACTTATGTTTTGCGCATGACACTACATACTGTTGTAGTAATTATGTTTTTAGTACTGTAATACTGATTTAAAACGATTTTTTTATATTGTAGTAGATATTTTGTCTTTAACCTTGTTTCATGTACAATTTACTTTTAGTTGTTTTGCTTTGTTTGATTAACTGATACTTTTAGTACTGTACTAGCTGCATTTAAAATTGTTTTAAGTTTAAAAATTCAAAATTTTTAATTTTTGAAATTTCAAAATTGTAAAAAGATTAATTACTTTAATATTACTTTCATTATGATCTTCATCTAGCTTTCAAACCAAAGATGCTTTAATTAGAGGTTGTTATTAGTCTTTCCTTTACCGTGTCCCTACATGCACATATCCTATGGCTTCCAGCACTAAACCAATGTCAAGTACAGTGTACGCAAACTACCAACCACAGAATAATAAATGTGTAGTTGTAAAGAGAAGCTTATGGATACTATTATTGTTTCTATACAAAAAAAACCTACAAATGAGCTTAAAAACTTTCTACTGTAGAAAGATACAGTACACTGCTGAGAAAGTTTTTTGTACGTTGACTGATAAGCTATAGTTTATATCACCGATGTTTTTAGTAACTTATAACACTGTGGACTAATGCATCACTTTTTGGCTAGCAGGTGTTCCACCTTAATGTGACGAACGTCAAGGAACATCTGATCGTAAGAATCACGTGTTCAACGTTATCAATTGACTAAACTTTTTAACTTTGACGAACTCAAGATAATATGAAACAAGTACATTATGTTAAAATGGTTATAAGATGTTAAAGCTTTCACATATTTAACATTAAAATCCCCGAACACTTCTTTATATACAAGCTACTGTACGTTAAAAAATTATTGTAACGAAAAATATTTTTTTCCAGTTATTAAAAGGTTTGAAGGGTGGTCAGCTTTACATTTAACCAGAGAAGAGCTAATAGAAACATGTCTTCGGGAGTGGGAAATGATGTTGTGGAACAGTGGAAGAGACTTGGAGATTTCTCTGTATCAGATGGGATCGCTTGTCGTGTATGAAATTTTGTATGTTGTGAGATGAGATATATTATAATAGATATAACACGATGCGTAGCAGAGTATGGTTAGAGCCCTGAGCTGGGGTTCTGGGCCAAGACTCTGGGCTAGAGCGCTAGGCCAGAGCGGCTAATCTGTGTTTAAACTAATTGTTTAGAACTCTAATACACATAAGAAAGTGCATTTGAACGAATATCTTTTGAGCGACCAAATCTGCTTTTATTTTCATTTTATACATGTTAATGGCGGTGCAACAATAACAAAAAGTATGGTCTTGTTTCTAAAAGTGCCATCCTATATACAAAGGAAGGATTAATTCGTGGATTACCGCAATGAAAAGTTGTTTCTGTACATTCAAAACGTTCCATTTGGTATGTTAATGACTATGATAATATGCATTCTTTGTAGCTAACGTTTCTTGCATTTATATGTATATTTTCAACTTGTAATTTGTAGATAATGTATCAATATTTACTGGAAGTACTGCCATAATAGCCTTAAAACTCAAGGTAACAGATCAAATTACCTATGGCGATTGGCAGTTTGAAACTCGTCACTCGTATTTACCGTATCGAATAACAGACATGTTTGAATCAGGACAGTATTACCGAGTATGTGAGGACTATTACTTTTCTTGGCTGGTGCAATGGTGTAGTTGGTACTTTGATGTTCAGACTATTTATAAACTGATACCCAAGAAGATTGATTTTTATAATGTTACCATGGGAAGCAACGATAACTTACACTTTCGATATGTTTTTCCAATTATGAAAGATGAGTTATAAGTATGGCATGTTGTTATAGTCTTTTTGAGTCTTTTTGTTACTCTACTTTACTCTACCCTACTTTACCCTACCCTGTATTAGCTCGCTTTACCCTACTCTACCCTACCTTATCCTGCCTTACTGTTCTACTCAACGTCTTAATTTTCTCTTCTTAAGTTACCACTTACAGTATGTAAATCGGGTACTAGCATCGTATTGTGTAATGGTATATGTATTTATTGTACTCAGTAAAGTCCTACTTGTAATATATCTCAATAACCGGGCTAATATCACTAAATAAGATTATAATGTAATTCTAACTTAGATTATTACGCAGTAAACGTTATTGTAAGTGTTACTGTATAGATTATCCTAAATGTCACAGTATAGTTTATTCTAAATGTCACAGTAAAAGTTATTGTAAAGGCAGTAGCATGAGTTTGGCACTTTTCCCATGGTCTGGTACTTTGGTGTAGATGGGGTCTCCGTTGTCTTTGAAGTCTTCGAAGAAAGTCTCTTTTACCGTCAAAAAACTCTTCTTAATAAATAATCGTTGCGATGCTTGAGCTGTAGCACACGTAGCTACATGAGTGCACTGATGTCGCACAGCAAGTTCTAAGGCTGACTTTAGGAGATACGAGCCTAGGCCTTTACTAAAATGTAGAGTGTTTATTGTATATCTCATACTCATATATATGTTTACTTGTACCTACTATTAACCTAGTCCATATCCCTGTAGCTAGACCTATAGGTTTGCCGGCAACTATAGCTACACTTGTACCTACTTATACCTATGCCTATACATATATCAATACTTCTATTTATGTCTATACCTAAATCAACAGCTACATATACTACAAACTCACCCCGCCTGGTCGCTTCGAACCGCCAAAATGTCCAATTTGAAAATCTTAGCCCAAGGCGATACGAACTTGAACAGCCCTTCCTCAGCCCCATCAATGAATACAGCCAGCCGGTTGGCATTCCGATTCTCGTAAGGTCCTTCGTCGATGAGAAGCTTGTAATCCTCTACCGTTGCATTCTGCGTACTCTGTGGTAGATCGTCGTACTTGTATATCGTATTTAAAGATATACCAACTACTTCATTCTCTCGGTTCTTAGCTACCAATGAACAGCAAGGCACCTTCATGTCATTCGTCACAATGTCACGGTAGAATTGGAAGGTGTCGGAGTAAGAGGAGTCTGAAAGTGAGTGTACTGTGATATGCTGCAGATTTTGAAAAATTTAAAAAATATATATTGTCATTGATTGTGAAAAAAACTGTCATTCCTATACACTTTTTGACTAAATTACTATAGCAGGGCTACATCTAGGCTTAAATATAATAGACTAATTGTAAGATAAAGCTAAAGTAGGTAGAGTAGAACAATGCAAGGCAAGACATTGCAAGTCAAGGCAGGGTAAGGCAAGGCAGAGAAAATTTAAAGCTACAGTATATCACCTTCATGAAAATATATTACTAACGATCTTCACTACGTAAGATTGATTGACGGAAACATCAAAACAATTAATTACCAACACCTTTTATTATGCAATATAGATGTTACTACAAGTTATTTAAAGCAATATTACAGATTTGGCAAGCTCAACAAACATGTTAACCCTTGCCGTATGAACAAATATCTTCCAGTAAATTCCTGGATAATTGAGTTAATTGGCTTTTAAAATAGCAAACAAAAATAGAAAGTTACAGTATACTGCATCTACGGTAGCCCACCGTTATAAGACTTACCAATAAAAGTTACTTATGTCAAGTTAAAGTTGTTTAAATAATTCTGTGCCCCTTAACCCCAAAATTTTGCTTTGAAAAGAGGCACATAATTATTTGAACAACCTAATTTATAAGTGGTTTTTAAAAATATTTTTAGGTTTTTTCATTTTTCTAAATATTCCACTTACCTTTGAACCAAAATGAAAATATCAAAACTGAAAAATAATCGTAACGTTGTAAGCTGTATTTTAAAAAATCAAAAAATTAAAAAAAAACCTTTATTTTTGACAAAAATCAGTGAATTGGTGGTTTACAATGATCGATCCGACCAGTTTCACCTACGATAAGGTAAGTTTTTGAACGTTCTATTCATGTACCATTAGGTTTACAGTTTGTTTAGTTTCGAAATTCTAAACTTATAATTTTCTTTGTCGGAAAATCTATATTAACTTAGGCTTTACCAATATTTGGCCAATATTCTTGCCTTTCTTGCCATAACACTTCTCCCATCTTATTCCACTTTTTACTGTTTTCGCTCAAACACCATTATCTTTTTTCTGTTTTTACTTGTGGCAGTATCTTCCCAATGTCGTTTTTGTTTATACTCGGCCAGTAATCCCATTCATCTTGCAGAAGGCGGCCGAAGAGAGAGCTAAGAAACTGCACGCTGATGCCAACAGACGCCTGAACAAGCTGAAGACAGAAGTGAAGGAAGTGCTGGAGAAGCAGAATCTGAACAAGGATTCGTACGAGTGCCAGTTGTACTCGGATACCGTATTCGATTTGCAGGTAAGGCCAAGTATTACAATGTAAAAATGTACTCTATGATGCTCGAAACCTAATATTAGGTTGTTCAAATAATTCTGTGCCTCATAACGTCAAAAATATTTTTTGAAAGAGAGCACAGAACTATTTGAACAATCGAAGTATATTAGAATGTCTTAAAAGTCTTGTCGTTTTTTAATTTCCAAATACATATGAATTGACGACAAGACTTTTAGCCTAACATCATCCTGATATAAAATGAAAAGAAGATGAAAAATAGCAAAAAAACAAGATTTTACAATTTCAAAAGTCAAAATTTAAAACTAGAATTCAAAAAAAACTTAAAATTTCAGGATGGAAGCCAACTACACCAAGTGAATACCCCCAAGACCCGGCTCTATTACGTGGAGAAGGTGGATTCGTTCGTCTTCTTATCTCGCTCCAACCTCGATGACAACTCTGGGGTCTGCTACTCTGTTCGCCGACTTCAGGACGACAAGTTATCCATCAAAATTCTACAACATTAACCTATTCCTACCGGACCAACCTATTCCTATACCTAATATGTACATAGCTACTGATATAGGTATAGAGTGTACCTTGTTTTACTTTGAAAACTCAATAAATAAATGATCATATCAATATTGTTGGATAGATTTTAAAGGTTTTGAATGCTGTTTGAGATTCTGTGGCTTCCCGGGGAGCTACAACTTAGACTGTGGCTTAGAAAGAGCCATATATTAGACTAGAAAATAGATTTTAAGACCTAAAGCTATAAAATTTCATAGTACACCAATATCTTTATAAAAATTTAAATTTAAGACCTTTAAACTAAAAAAATCAAGGTAAACTTACTGAGAGCAGATGTGATCGGCTCAGTAACTCTGAATGAATTCTGCATGAACTCGAAAATGACATCTTGATCTTGCGGCTGAGCGAAGTTAACGTAGATTCCATCCATCTTTGCTGAAAAAAATACTTGTAAAATGAAAAATAGCAATGAAAGTAGTAATTAAGTATCAAAAAAATAAAAAATACACCTCATACTTATATATAAAAGCATCTATCTACAAATACACGCTTCGAAAATGATTTTCAATTTCAAAAAAATAAATAAAACTGCAATATCTAAAGTGCGAACAAGTTCAAATTGTAATAACAATATAAACCCTAAAGGTTTACAAAAACCAACCCAAAGTTGTAACAATTAGGTAACAAATTCCACTTTGTCTCACGTTTTGCGACTTATTTTTAGAAGTCACGTTGAAAGTTATATTGTTTTAGACGGAATTGAACTCAAAAAACTCGGAAATTTAAGCAGAAATGTAAATAAATAAAGCTTTAGACATAAAAAAAAACTCGTGGTGAGGCAAGCAAATCGTATTCATGACACCAAAAAAGCAAAAAGTCATGTTTCAAAAGCAGAAATTCAAAAAAAGCCCAAGGATAATATCGGAAAAAATCTTTAAAATAGTGTTTTAGGCATTGATAAGGCCAAATTTTTGTTTTTAAACTTAAATTTAGGTAACAAAATTTTATATTAAGTAACAAACAATATATAAGGAAGCATTTTAAACAAGTAACCACCATTTTTCCCACAAAAATTTAGATTTTAGCTACAAAATAACCACTTTAAGCCCAGAAACCACTCCAAAAGCCGATTGTCTTTTTGGTATTCTTTATCACGAACCCTCAGGGTAAAAAACACTTAAAAAACGAAAGAAAATGCCGGATTCGAACAGTTTTTAAAGACCTCGAACAAAGAGCCTGAGGCTCTTTTGGGCCTTTGGACGTGCCCATGAATACGCTGTAAATGTAAAAGAGCCAACCTTCACACAATTTATTCAATGACATTTTGATGACATTAGGTTAACTTGAACAAAATTACTTCCAGAATCTTTGATTAAGGATTCATGAATAAAGATGTTGTAATAATATTATGACTGCCAATGGAGGAACACAGTCTAAACGTACATCAATATAAATAAAATAGTAATAAAACTTGTTTTAAGCAATTTTGTAATTCAGTAGCAAGATGTTGAGAATTGAAAAAGTCAACTTGTTATAGTCAACGTAAAAACAAAATATATTTTTAAAAATTGTGGAAGATATCTTTGGTATAGTAAATAAGATACATTGTTACAAAAATTTACTTTCTTTTTTCAAACCAAGATATGTAACCTGAGACGTAAGTAGGTATGATGAGTTTGATAAAGACCGTCAGAGGAATCTATTTGTAGCTGTTCCCTATTAGGCCGCAACCAGGTGCTTCTGTTTCTTGAGATACCGAAGATTTCTGGCCGTAGCAAGAGGCCTGTGTAAGCCAAGCAACCAATTTGCTAAGATTCTCGTGAACTTAAGATGCCTTTTTTTGCGTTGACTATAACAAAAGATACAAAAAATACTTGAACCACACTTTTTAGCTACAACAGACACTTCTACTTTACTATTAGACTTTGCAAAGACCACCATCAAGGATTTTGCTACTGTGTTTCTGCTTGATTATTATGTAAAAGTAAATGATCAATGTTTTGAACATTGCAAGATTAACTTTAAATTGAAGTCTTTGAGCAATTTGTGATACAGGAGGCAAAGAGTCAGCAAAAGCTTCTATGACGTCGGCGAACAGTCAGGGGGCTTTTAGAGCTTCGGCGCAGACTTTTATACTAATTTGGTAAACAGAAACAACCATATATGACATTAAAAACTTATAATTAAAAACTATTTCAAAATAGAAGTACAATAAAACTCTTGTATAACGCACCGTTGAAGGATTTAAAGTTTGTTCGTTATAAAGTAAGTTTTGTATAGAAGTGCACCTATAGGTGTTTTAAATGCACCGTCAAGCGTTTGCTGAAGTTGTAAAGTTTGTTTGTTACACAGAGGTTTCGTCATTTAAAAGTTTGTTATACTGAAGTTTTAAAATTTAAATTCACTGTGTAGTGTTGAACAATGAGTTAAAAGTTATTATACTTGTTATACAGAAATTCCACTGTAGGTTATACAACTTTGAATATGCATAAAGTTGCTTGGTGCAAGGACATTTGAAGTTTTAGTATAAGCGCAGTATAAGAATGTAATAAAATTTTTTGTTGTTATCAGTTTTTGATTTTTACATTTATGATAATTTAGAATGTATTATATAACAGTTAAGAAATTTGCTGGTTTGCTCTGTCTTTGCATGCTCTTATTGTCTAATGTATAATATTATTTTTTATCATCATCATAATAAAGTTTAGCAATTTTGTCGTTTTTAAACATAAAAATCAATATATATATTGCCAAAACTTTTATTATGATACATTAAACTTATTACACAAGTACATATACTTTTCCATACGTCTCACAGTATCAATTACGTTATAATCTTGGTACAATATTTGTCTTGAAATTTTGACAAAACGCTCCTCAACCAGCTAACAATGTAAACATCGACCGAATCGGATGTTTAACTACCTAATCTCGATATGTTTTGACAGAGTAAATATCGATTATGTTGACACAAATCCTCTCGTGGCACTCGAGGAGTGCGCGAACTCAGATTAAGCGTCAAGAGTCACTTGGCCTGACCATTGGCCACCTGGTCGGCGCTATGAATACTAATTTGTGCTAATTAATAGCTGCGCATCCCGCGGGCTCCCCATATGGCTTTGGCGTGATGAATAGCGTCGATTGTGCAACAAGAGTTGTTCAAGATGCACTTCGACGACTTTCGTTTCTATTCATCGTGAGTGCGGATTCTGAAGCTCTCGGAATCCACTCGAAACCGACGACACGCAACCGGAAAGGGATACGGTGGAAAACCGATGGTTTCGACGCTTCAGGAAACCGATGTCTTCTGGTTACGATAAGGGTTTAGAAGTGACGGTCTTCTGGCAATAAGGGGTTGGTAGTGCAATGGTTAGACTACGCAATGCCTTTAAAATTTTGTATTTTTAGCAAGGGTAGGGTAGGGTAAAGCTCTATTGCTTGTGAATCTACATTATTTCCTGTTTAATTTTAAATTTCAAACTTTTTATATTATCTACAAAACCCTATAGTATCGTATCCCAAAATCATCGTAACCATGGCCTCTTGACTCCAGAAAACCCCGGTTTCCTTCCCTTTTCTTGATTTTCTTGATTTTCGGCCAAAAATATGCAAATCCGATTACTTTCGGCCGTTATTCATGAGCTGTAGCCTCGGGCGATGGTGTCTTATGAACTGGAATTCGCTTACCACCGGAATCGGACTTATGTTAAGTGTCGGCCGCATCCGATTTTAGCTTCAGAATTGACACAGTCCAGGCTTCTAAGTGAGAGAAGAATAAATCTGGAGAAGGCAAATGGTAAGAAGTGGCATTATTTTAAAAGCTTTGATGGTATAGGTGAAGCATTTTTGCTGGCTTAGCATAAAGTTTTTGTTGAGCGTCAGTTATGAATTGGCAGAATGATAAGGCGACACTTTTAAGCGGCTTAAAGTGATGCTTTAAAGTGGCATAAGTTGAAAGTCTGTTACAATCGGTCTTAAATTTACAGTACTATAAGTCAAGGCTTCAACTCTGTAACCTCTTCTTACAAACCATATAAAACTTCTAAACAATTCAAAAAGACCATGTTTTGGGCCGACGCCCATTAGCATTTTTGTCTTAGATTCTCGCTTAAAATCTAAGGTCTCTCTGTTTTGAACGCTCTTTTCTTTGCACGAATTACCTCCTTCGTACCGGATTCAGACTCGTCCTGACTTCTAATCTAACTATTTTCTCACACGCACTCTAATAGAATCTAGCCTTTAGGGTACGGTAAATTGGAGTAGGGTAGTATGAATAAATGTAGGGTGGAATAAGGTAGTTAGTAGTACTTTTTTATTATATGTAAGGTACTGAGTAGTACCTTAATTAAAAAATAGTTAAAATGGAGGAAAGTGCTCTTAATAATTTTAAAATTTTTTTTTATATTGTTTCACCTTACTATATGATCAAGGTAAAGTAACTTATATTGATCTTGTTATAGTAGAGAAAAGCTTATGTTGGTTTTCATTTTATTTTTTAATTTAATGCCATTTATGATACAAAAAGAATTTTAGCCAAATTCATATTATAAAGACAAACGCTGTCTTATACGCCTATTATAACATAAACTACTGTGTAATACAGAAAGATCAGCAGATGTTGTTCATGAATCCGAAAGTCACCTGTTGTTTGTCGCAATATTATGTCTTTAATAATATCTTTTCAAATATCTTGTACCAATGGATATAATTGGCCTTTGCTTCTTTGTGTTGTATACCTATTTTCCAGAGGTGCAGTAGAAAGTTTGGCAGTATAACTTCTTGTTGTAGTAGGATCGAGACACTGGTTTTACATTAGTGTAACTGACACAATACTACAATACGTCAGTATTGTACAATAATGTCGCAAAGGTACAGTAGAAACTTCTACACATAAATTACTTTAGTAGTAAGGCAAAAACGATTTAACATTACTGTAACTGCCATAGTAACTCTATGATACTTTATGTGTAACAATACTTTACTGCCTTTATTTGCA